GAGGGCCACGCCTCCGCCTTGGTCGGTGATGTGATGTATGTGTTTGGAGGTCGCACTGACGAAGGTGTTGATCTGGGAGACCTGTCCGCCTTCCGCATCTCAACTCGACGATGGTTTTCTTTCCAAAACATGGGCCCGGCACCATCTCCTCGGTCTGGCCACAGTATGACAGCCTTCGGCAAACAGATCATCGTCATGGCAGGCGAGCCGAGCTCGTCTCCCAGAGACCCGGTTGAACTGAGCATGTCCTACATCCTTGATACCAGCAAAATCCGGTATCCCAATGATTCCCAACCTGGAGGGCGCGTTTCTGAAGCATCAGCCAGAAAGACAAGCGTTGAAAAACAGGGTCCCACATCTGGACGAACATCTCGTGAAGCCCAAAACCAACATCCCGAACAGGCGATGCGCAAAGGCCCCACACCCTCACGAGAAAGCATGATCATGGCGGCTGGAGGCTCGAATCCAAACCTAGGACCAGGATCTAGACTACCTCGGGCTTCAATCGCTCAGGCTCCCTCCGGACCACCTCCTCCTGGCCAAGCACCGTCTCCCGGCCCCCGAGGCAACGGTCCTCCTGCCGGCGCGAACCCTCGCAGCAAGACTCCAACAAAGAACGAGCGTGGCAACACCCCCACTATTGATATCCGTACGGCAAACGGTGAACGTAGCGAGTCCCCAGTCGCGAAGGACGGGCCCCAAGATTCGCATGGACCTCCGTCTGCTGGTCGCCGAACCCCCACTCAGCATCAAAGACCATCAGCCAAAGCAATGGAAGCGGGTGAAGCCGCTCCTCTTATTAGTACCCCAGGCCGCCAGCGGTCGCTCCGTTCTCAACGACAGCGTGCGTCTGTCGACAGTGGCGAAGAGTCCATATTGGGTCGGCATGCCAGCATCGAGGGCTCGATTGACTCTCGAAGCTACCGCAACTCCAAGACTCTTGGCGATGAGCCTCGGTCCCCTCGCCTCACCCCTCACCAGGAGGCATTGATCAAGGAGCTGGAGGCTACTAAGGCTCGAAATGCCTGGTATGCATCAGAACTTGCGCTCGCGAAGAAGGGAGGCTATGTTCCAAATGCGACAAGTAGCCCTGCTCTGGATGAACGGGCTAGTGATGCCTTGAATGATGAGGATCGCCCCCTCCTCGAGGCCTTCTTGGCCATGAGAGCAGACCTGGTCAAGATGCAGGCTACTGTAGACCGACAGGCTGCCATTGCATCCAAGCGTGTTGCTGAAGTAGAGCACCAACGTGACATGGCAATCAATGAGGCAGCATATTCGCGGGCCAAGCTCGCTGCCCACGGTGGCAGTCAGCGAGGCACCCCACAGCCTGAGAGTTCCCGCGATGGTGATGATGAGCGCCCTACTGATATGGGCCGTCGCCTTGCGCTGGCCTTGGCCTCCCAGGCTGAACTTAAGGCCAAGCTAGATCTCCAGACGACCGAGCTAATGCAGGAGCGCCAAGCGAAGGAGCTTGCCGAAGAAACAAACGAGGCAACCCGTAAACGCCTGGCAGAACTGGAGATGCAAAGCAACACTCTCGAGGCCGAGAACCTGCGTGCCGAGCTCCACCGGGCAGAAGCTACTTCCAGAGAAAAGGCCTTGTTGCACGCAGAAGCTGAATCCTCACTCCGACAACTCACTCTGGACAAAGAAGAACTGTTGGCACAGCTTGAAGAGTCCTCAGCTCGTCTGAAGGACTTTGGCTCCAACTTTGGTAGCTTGAAAGAGGCTGTTGCTGCCTCCGCCGCCAAGACTGCCATAGTTGAAAGGCAGTTGTACGAAGAGCGTGAACGTCGGGAGGGGCTCGAAAGAAAACTTTTGCTGCTCCGCTCCGAGCACGAAGAGCGGACTACGGACCTCGAAAACGTTACTCGTCGTCTCCGAGATGCTGAGGAGTTGGCCGAGAGCCATGCAAAGGAGGCCGAGACCCACAAACTGGCATTTGTTTCGGGCTTGGAACGTGCATCTTCTACGGATCTAGACAATACTATCCGTTCGCGTGCCGACCAGAGAGTCGCTGCCCTGGAAGCTCAAATCGAACGTTCTACCACTCTCGCCAAGGCGAACCAGGCAGCAGCCGATGCCGCAGCCGACAAGCTTCGCCGCGCCGAGGAACGGATTGCAGGCCTCGAAGCGTACCAGGAGCAGGCCAGCCGTGAAGGCTTGCAATTGCGTAGACAGCTGCAGACCGCTATGAAAGAAAGCCAATCCGCTGCTACAGACAGCAGAGAACTCAAGTCTCAACTTGAGGCCCACCAGCGTGAGGCTGGTGCTCTCGCAATCCAACATGCTGCTTTGAAAGATCTTCTCGGTGAGCGTGGTATTAACAATGATACCAGACGTTCTCCCCGTCTTGACTCCCCGGGGTCCCGTTTCGGGACTCCTGAGCAGGGCCGTCTGCGGGAGCTGGAGCAGCAGCTTTCGGCCAGCATCAAGGCCCATGAAGATCTGAAGAATAGCTTCGAGTCTCGCGAGCAAGAAGCTGACCGAACATTCCGAGAGAAACTAGAGCAGCTTGAGAATGATTACCAGTCAGCTGTCCATTATGTCAAGGGCACCGAAAAGATGCTCAAGCGTATGAAGGATGAGCTGAGTCGATACAAGACCCAGAATGCCAAGATGCAGTCTGAACTTGAAGCAGCTCAAAGGAGCCTTGAGGATTCAAGTGGTCAGCCATCTGGAGATTCGACCGAATCAGAGACTGAGCGGGCCCGGCTTGAACAGACTATCTCCGAAATCGAAGCGCGCACATCCGCCTCTATTGCCAACCTTGAGGCTCGAATCGCCCAGCTTCAGGGAGATCTAGATGAGGCTACGACTGAGAAGCAACATGAGCAGAACGAACATGAGCGTTTCAGACAAGAACTTCTTTCTGCTGCGGAGCGCAGTCGCACGGAGCTAGAACAGCTCAAGCTAGAGAACATCCACCTTGAAACCCGTGCCTCAGATGCAGAGCAAAAGGTCAACATGCTCTTGGAGCAGGTTCAGACATCTGTCGGTCATTACCGTCGTCAGTCCCAGCATGGCACAGGTACTAACGGGATCTCGCGCTCACATAGCAACGCCTCTAGCAACACCGTCAGCGGAGGCAACGGAGGAAATGGACGGCCACGGGCCGGTAGCAACGTCTCGCAAGAGTCCTCTTTCCCCGATAACCGTGGCTCCATGGCGCTGGACTCTCTCGCCAACGAGCTCGATGCTCTTCGTACCCACTGGGAGAGCACGAACCGCAACTACCGCCTGAGTAGCCAGCTGGATATGGAGCGAACTCCCACCAAGGATAACAGTGACGGCCCCGCATTAATGAGTGACAGCCTGGCCGAGTGGAGAAGAAGACTGGATGAGGATGAACGGGCTGGTCTTCCCGTGAAAACCAAGCCATTGACTGCAGGAGCTGGACCAGAAGGTCCTAACGTGATCTAAGATTCACGCCTTTCCTTACTACGACCATGTGGCCTGAGATATGTCAATTTCCACCGTCTGAGCGTTTTGCGCATGTATTTTTGCAACACTTGATTGAGTTTTACTTGTTTCCGTCCTATTGGATCTCTACTTTGTTTACATCGAAAGAAGGGGTTGTTTTGTGCTATTCCGCTACCGCTCTCGTTTGTTCCCTTTTCTGCCCGCTGAACTCTTATACCCCGGTTTTCCGATGTTCATTGGACTCTGGTTGTACTACTATCACATTCCTCGCGGATTTCTTGTTCGATTAGTATCAGAACCTGTCATGATTGCCTTTTCAAAGATTCTTACTATTTTGCAAGGACATACTACAACTTTCCCCGTAATTGGACCCTTCAACCTACAAACGATGACCTGTCACCAGCCCGATTTGACAGGTACAAAGCCTCCCGGGTAGGGTCCGGGGATAACCTTATGCCAAGGATCCCATTAATTTGGGTTGATTCTCATCAAGGCAACTGATTGAGATCGCACTGCATGATATGCATTCAGCTTTGCCTCAAATAGGCTGAGACAATTTCCCATTGAGGAAAATCGCGCATAGATAGTATCTAGTATTGTCGGTATTGATCAGACTATGAGTAAACAATGAGCAAACATACCTTCTAGGTATGAGATCTGAAAGGGAAGAATTGTGATTGCACATATTCTCCTATAACTTACATCCCATGGATCTGAAGTGCCTAGACGCTTTAGTTGATGTTGGGCATACTGCCTGAATGATATACCGAGGTCAGCTGAGGTCTCCCTCGCCACCGGCGCCTGACAGGCAACGTATGCAGAATGAAATGAAAGGCAATAGATACCTCAATATCAATTGAATAAAAAAGATGTATAAAACTCTACAAATGTCCTATTTGCAGCCCAATACCAATAATACCGTAAGCCCAAAACTGTAGTAAGAAATGGGGACAGTTGCGCCCTGTACTCTGCATGTAACTGTCAGCCACCCTTTCGCTAAAAAATACACCTCACCGACTCCCCCCTCTTACTCTCTCCCTTCTCCTTTCCCTTCTTCAACAACATCCCCTTCAGCCGTTTTCAAGGCTTTGCCCTTGATTCTCTTCGATTTCGACCTCGAAATCCCGGATCTGTCCGGACTCCGTTACTCCTCCTTTCTCTCTTCCGGTCGCTCTCGGTCGGCAAGATCATCACATCACCTCTTTGATCCGTTATCTCCAGGTACGCCAATATATCGGATCTCTTGCCTTTGTCCTTTCTTTGTTGCCCGACTCCTCGCGTCATTCGCGTCAAGTGCGTTTTGTTTACTTTTTCTGGGGTGATCTTAAAGATCAAGCAGCCTGGCCCAGCCTTGCAAGCTGCCTGAGCCTCAGCTGTGACACCCCCCCTCTTACCATTTCCCTGTTTTCTTCTCGCTTTTCCTCTCTTCTCTCTTCTCTCTTCGCTCTCTCTCTTCCTTTGAGCTTTCCAGTCATCGTCATTCGTTCAGCCCCTTTGAACTTGATCTAACAGTCGTGGTTTCCTAGCATCTAATCCTTTTCCACGGCTAACCGCTGTGCCCCCATCTCTTCAAGATGACGACCATGGTCAGTGTTAGCCAACCCCAATTTCTTTCTCTTTTTCTTTGCTCGATGTTCGACCTGTTTGGGCCTAGGGTCTAGGCCTACCATGGGTTCTCATATCAACGTATCGACTTCGCGTTTGCTGACATTTTCTTCAGGATTTGCGTGTCGGTAATAAGTACCGCATTGGCCGCAAGATCGGTAGTGGTAGTTTCGGTGACATCTACCTTGGTATGTCATCTCCATGGGGTTACTTACCACTCAAGCTTACAGATTCATAGGCACCAACATTATCTCCGGTGAGGAGATTGCCATCAAGCTCGAAAGCGTCAAGGCCAAGCACCCCCAGCTTGAATACGAGGCCCGTGTCTACAAGTCTCTCGCCGGTGGTGTCGGTATTCCCTTCGTTCGTTGGTTCGGTACCGAATGTGACTACAATGCCATGGTCATCGACCTCCTTGGTCCCAGTCTGGAGGATCTTTTCAACTTCTGCAACCGCAAGTTCTCGCTCAAGACCGTTCTGCTTCTCGCCGACCAGCTTATCTCTCGCATTGAATACATCCACGCCAAGTCGTTCATCCACCGTGATATCAAGCCCGACAACTTCCTGATGGGCATTGGCAAGCGTGGCAATCAGGTCAACGTGATCGATTTCGGTCTTGCTAAGAAATACCGTGACCCCAAGACGCACTTCCACATCCCTTACCGTGAAAACAAGAACCTTACTGGAACTGCCCGTTACGCCAGTATCAACACCCACCTGGGTGTCGAGCAGTCTCGCCGTGATGATATGGAGTCTCTTGGCTACGTCATGCTCTACTTCTGCCGTGGTTCTCTCCCCTGGCAGGGTCTGAAGGCTGCCACTAAGAAGCAGAAGTACGACCGTATCATGGAGAAGAAGATGACCACCCCCACCGAGGTTCTGTGCCGTGGTTTCCCCAACGAATTCGCCATTTATCTGAACTACACCCGCTCGCTTCGCTTCGACGACAAGCCCGACTACTCTTACCTTCGCAAGATTTTCCGTGACCTCTTCGTCCGTGAGTCCTTCCAGTACGATTACGTCTTCGACTGGACCGTCTACAAGTACCAGAAAAATGCCGCCATGATTGTGGACGCCACCAAGAAGGACAAGGATGCTGAGGACCAGCAGCGCCGTCAGGGTGTTCCTGCCGCTGGCCCCATGGGTGCCAGTGGTGCTCCCAAGCCCGGTGCCATCTCTAGCCAGCGTCGCAAAGTTATGGACCGCGGCGGCCTTGACAACACTCCGGAAACCGGCCGTGCCGTGGGAGGTAGCGACAGGATGTGAGTACTTTTGAAAACCTGGTTTCCGAGTAGGGAACCCCTTCTCTTTTTCTTTAACTCCCTGCGTTGTGTGATTTGCTTTTCGTGACACTGGCGTGGAGGAATCCTTTGGTTCTGGATCTGACTAATCGCATAGTCTTCGGCGTTAGGCTGCGTTCTGCCTCGAAAGGTGCTGCTTTAGGTTATGGACCTTCTGGTGGCCGTTCGAAGCGGGATGATGGAGCGGGGGCTCAGTGGTACTAATCGTGTAGCTTGACAGTGAGGTTATTTTACAGTTTCCTCCTGTTTGTTCTCACACACTTGTCTACTCAGAAACCCGGGACCTCGTTCAAGTCTCCTTGGAGCGGACCATGTGGCACTCAACCACTCGGAATTTTCTTTTTCTTCATGGATCTCTTTTCATTCTGCAATCCCCCGACAGCCCCTATCCCGTTTTCGATCATTTTTCGATTTCAGCCGTTTCGACTCGGCATTGTTTGTATCGCCCTCAATCTCACCTCTTGATCAATCGGTCAACCATTGAGCTCGCGATTAACTTTGTCGATCTTATTTGTATTTTCGGATTCCTGTACCCGTTCTGCGGGACAACCGATCACGTCTCGAAACGCTCTTGATATTGTGGCTCATTTCTACGTCCTTGCCCTTTGGTTTCTCTTTACAACCTGGCATCTTTGGTCAGCACGGCCAGAGGGCAAGACCAAGGGAGATGCAAATGACGGCGTCAGCCCACACTTTTATTGTCGGATTATTTGACCGCTGCGATTGGAGATCCCTGAATGCATCATCAGATGCGCTACCCATTCCTTTACCCCTTTCATTTCCTATGATTTCTTTACCCTGCCCTTTCTGCGTTTTTCTTTGTGTCTGGCGATTATCAATTTGTTTACATCGACGTTTAATGGGGACGAGGGGCGGCCAGCTGGTCGATTGATGGTGACACGGAGATGTCTTTCTTCGGGGAAATTGCTTGCAGGATTTCTGGTTATGTCCAGTTGTCTTGCAGAAATTTCTATCTGTTTACAGATGGTCTTTAATGCAATCCCGCTCGGGGGAAGCTTCTCGTGGTATGGCGACGGAAAATGGTTAGGGTCGCTTCCGGGGTGGTATACGTCGATGTCATATGTTACTAGCTCTCACTAAGTTGAATGTGTTTATCCCAACTCCTTCCACTTCGTAGGCTCTAAGCTCTAGAAATGGTGAGATCATCGAACGCCTCCCGTTGGCACGGACCAAACTCTCCAGCAGTTGATATTTGGGGATCGGAGTGAATAATAATCTAAAATTAGGGTGTGTTGTCAAAGTACCCAATACCGTGCTCATTGGCCAGATCTGCAGCCAAACCCAAGTACCTGGTACGAACGGTCGAGAACAGAATTATTCTGGGGCTCCAAGCCAAATCTTCCCTCTCCCACTTCCTAACTTTCCGACAGACTCGGTGTATCCAACATTCCACCGTCATGGATTACCCCTACTACAGCCCTCGGTCGCAGCCTTACTCGCTCTATGGGCTGCCGAATGGGCTGCCTACCCCCGACCAGCCACCCCAGGCGCAACCTGATGATGCGTTTGCCCCTCTAGTGGGTTCTTTGTCCTGATCTCCATAGCCCCTGATTCTGACTATACCAGAATAACTACGAGCAGAACTTCCCTGGCTTTGACCCCTCGTTCCGCATCGACCCCTCCTCATCCTTTGTCCCGCCACCACATTCACCGCCAGAATCATTCTCCAAGCACTCAGTCTCAAGCAACGAGGCTGGCAACAATCAGCACGCGGATCCCATCTCCTTTGACGGCGATGAGCCACAATTTGCCGATCCCTCAATGGGAAGGAGCAGCAGCGAGGAAAACCAGTCGGTGCCAGCGCAAAGCAAGCGCAAGGCGCAGAACCGTGCTGCGTATGTGACAAATCAACCCCATCCCCGCGTCTCAAGTGGGTGCCCACGAGATATCAGAAATACTAACAGGAGCATCCCCTATCTAGTCAGCGCGCATTCCGCGAACGGAAAGAACGACATGTCCGCGATCTCGAAGATAAAGTGAACAAGCTCGAACAAGCATCCGACACATTACAAGCCGATAATGAACGCCTGAAGCGCGAGCTCGCGAGATATACAACCGAGAATGAAATCCTTCGCGCTACGTCACATCACCCCAACCGCGGCAATGGCAGTGGCAATGCGAACGAGTCTCCCGAGCCGGTTGTCACAGGTCCGATGAAGTACTCCCCCACGGATTTCTCAGCCACACTTCAACCAGATGGAAAGGCCGCGGCTCCAGCCCCGCAACACCGTATGCTTGTGTGCCCAACCACCGGCGAGAACCTTTTGGATACGCGGGCTACGTGGGACCTAATTCAGAAACATGATTTGTTTAAGAGTGGGCAGGTTGATATTGGTGATGTTAGTGAGCGGCTTAAGGGTATGGCGCAGTGTAATGGCCAAGGCCCTGCTTTTAAGGAGGGTGAGGTGCTGAGGGCTATTGAGGCGAGTGCGGCTATGGGGCGTGATGAGTTGATTTAGGATATACGTTGTGCCCGCTATTATGATTATGGTTTGGAGTATGTTTTGGCGCCGGATATATGATCTACTGGCCCCCGAGCGTTTTGGCCTTTTTCTTTTTGGATTTCGGGTTCTTTTTATTGGAGCGAACGCTTAATTTGGATTTTGACTTCAAACCACTGGATATGTGGAGGGTATATTGAATGAAGCCTTCGATGAATGATTGGGCAAGACCACTTACAGACGGGCCAAGCTTTCAAAGGCTCAGCCCGTTCAAACCAATGACCAAGTAAGATATGCACATATTGCATCATTCTTTATCTGGTTATTGGTATAATACAGTATAATCCTAGGTACCCTTGGTCTGAGCGGGCCGAATTTGGCTCAATCTAGGCAGAGAATTATTATGAATGAGAAAAGCAGAATCAACTTCATAAGAGATGGGATTATGTCTCCAAAGTAGTCCTCAAGGTGGCAGGTTTAACATAACAAGTTGTTTATCAGACAGATCAAGTTTTGATTCCATTTGTCCTTTCAATACCAATTAATGGAAGTAAGATTTCGATCTCTTCTGCCTTTTAATGAGAACAAACATCAGAGACAAGCCTTGAGAAGTACGGAGATCATGAGATCTCCATATAGATTTCTTGCTATTTCGTCCACCGATCCTTGTGAAGTCGGATATAGAGTCAAGCAGGTTTGGCTAAAGAACGATCAAGATCTAACCTGTATAAAGCAAGGATGGAGAGGACCATTTTATTAGTTCATTATATTGACATGCTCTTACGCACAGTTTTCCAAGAGCAATGATCCCATCCTGACTTGGAAGCAAAGAGGCGCGCTTGGTTATCTTCTCACCAAGATATATAGCGAAATCTCCATATATCCGAAATCCGCTGCACTACTCTTCCGAATTTCTTTCTATATAAACCTGCGGGGATATCCGAATGCCCGGGGCGATATAGTGGAAATAAATCTGAAGCAGAGGAAGGGTGGAGAAAAATAATTTAACGAAAGACTTGTAAAGTCTGTGGATATAGGATATCCCCTCCACGGGCTGCAGATTGGACTAGGAGTCGACTTCAATTGTATAGAGGACAGTGCTAACGATCTATATAGAGGCGAGCACTAAAGCCGCATTACAAACCCAGATACAAGATGATTTATGCTAAAAATCCTATAGTCCCCTGACTGCAGGAAAGGCCAATATTGGGAACCAGATTCAGATCAAGGCTGACATGTGCTTTGCGTCTCACAACAGCCTTTCAATCACAATCGCCTGTCAACAGGGAAAGGTTTCATTTGGGGGTTGGATATTGTCATAATATACACATGCCATAATCATAATATTTGCATTGATTTTCAATTGGTGAATCAATCCCAGTCGTCGTCATAGTCTTCAATGTTCAGGTCATCGGCTTTTTCGTCCTCATCTTCGTCGCGCTTCTTAAGGCGGACATCATTTTCTTTCAGAGCACCAATTTCAACCAGCAAACGCTCAATATCTATATGATTGATGAGTATGTGCATGTCTCCGCCCTTAATTGTAAATAACATACCTTCAACCTTGGTACGGGGTCCATTCAACTGTTGCAGTGTGATAAGCTGCTTCCTGATCTCGGTATCTTTGTACACCAAAATTGTGGGTGTGTTCTTCTCCGGGTATCCCTCAATGCACATATCGGCGCGAATCTCACAGAACTTGATGTCACCAAACTTGGCAGCCAGCTGCCGCCAGAGCTCCGTCAACACGCGTGATTCGACATTGCCGCCCATGGATGTGAGATTGACGAGTACATAGGCACTGTTCGACGCTTCTGTCACCTCACGGGCATAATCGACCTTTTGAAGTGGGTAGACTTGGTTGAAGATACTGGTCTGTTGGATAGTGGAGAGCTCAGCGAATCGCTTTTGCCTATTCATGCGATTCAGCAAACGGATAGCTTTGGCGATGATATACAGAGCACAAGCTCACCGATATGAGTTGAGGAATTCCTCGTCCTCCTCCTCTTCCAGTGCGTCCAGCTCATCAATGTCCTTGTCCTCAAGTCGGTTTGCATACGCCCTGTGCTCTGCGTCGATCAGAGCCTCTTGGATTAGAGGCTCGGGGTCTACAGGCTTCTCGGGGATAATGCCATGCTGGCGGAGGATATCGTTCCTGTATAATGTAGGCAGTGGTTAGCACACTGCGCTTCATTGCAGTCAGTGGGGCACAGTAACAAGCTTACCACTCAGTGTCCTCGTTTTCATTGACTTCAACCTGCATGTTGAATTGATATTTTAAAAACTGCAGTAAAAAATCAAGTATAGGAAGGGAATGAGGGGAGTTGGAGGGGTGCTGCCTTCGATCATGATGCCACTGTTTGCAGTGTTTGTTACGGGCCAAACACACGGAAGGCCACCTTCAACTTGTCCCCAATAGACAAGCTCGAGGAGATCCAAGTCTCACCACCTCTTCTCTTCAATTCTCATTTCTCTTCTTTCCTCCATTTCACTCTCTTTTGGCTTTCAATTCTCGGGTGGCTATGCTGTAGTCGCCTACACCGCCCTGCCCTGATTCTGTGTACTCGACCCGTGTTCCATTTACACCCACTCCACATTTCCAAGGAGACAGCGATTACTCCTTGCTGGTAGATTCCAGCTCCCGGGCAAGATGAGCTATATGAAGAAAGATGAAGATGCGGACCAGGTCATGATCAAGCTTGATCGGACCTCCGTATTCCAAGATGGTGTGCAATTGCTTCCCCCCTGGCGCCTCCATGCGCTTTCCACATACTGACCAGACAATTCTCACAGCACGCCTTTTCAATTCCTCTCCTATTTCGCCGCGAACATGTCGGACGTTACTTACCAAGATCGCTGTCCTCATGTTCACCGGGGAGCAGTTCCCCACGAACGAAGCCACCACGCTCTTCTTCGGCATCTCCAAGCTCTTTCAGAACAAGGACCCTTCATTGCGGCAAATGGTGTATCTGATTTTGAAGGAGTTGGCTGGCACCGCTGAGGACGTGATCATGTCGACTAGCATCATCATGAAGGATACCGCGGTGGGAAGCGATGTTTTGTACCGGGCCAATGCCATCAGAGCGCTCTGCCGCATTATCGATGTAGGTCGCTGTGGCTTAGATTGATTGGAGAGGAAGTGGCTGACGATTCTAATAAAAAAAGGCCTCCACAGTACAAGGTATCGAGCGACTCATCAAGACTGCCATTGTTGACAAGACTCCCTCGGTCTCCTCCGCCGCCTTGGTCTCCTCCTACCACCTTCTTCCCATTGCGCGCGATGTCGTCCGGAGATGGCAAAGCGAAACACAGGAAGCAGCTTCATCTTCCAAATCATCGACCGGCTTCCTTGGTTTCTCGTCAAGCTCGCAGAGCCACGCCATCTCGCAGTCAAATTTCATGACCCAGTACCACGCCATTGGTCTTTTGTATCAGATGCGCTCACATGATCGTATGTCGTTGGTCAAGATGGTGCAGCAGTACGGAGCCGCAGGTGTTGTGAAGAGCCCGGCCGCTCTGCTCTTGTTGGTGCGTCTGGCGGCGAAGTTGGCCGAAGAGGACCAGGGCCTCCGGAAACCTATGATGCAGATGCTGGATGGCTGGCTCCGTCACAAGCACGAAATGGTCAACTTTGAGGCAGCCAAGGCTATTTGCGACATGCGCGATGTTACCGATGCTGAGGCCTCGCAGGCTGTTCACGTCCTCCAGCTTTTCCTGTCTTCCCCGCGGTCTATCACTAAGTTCGCTGCCATTCGTATCCTTCACAACTTCGCCTCCTTCAAGCCGCACGTTGTCAACGTCTGCAACCCTGATATCGAATCGCTCATCTCCAACTCCAACCGCTCCATCGCCACGTTCGCCATTACCACGTTGCTCAAGACCGGCAACGAAGCTAGTGTCGACCGTTTGATGAAGCAGATCTCTGGCTTTATGGCCGATATTACCGACGAATTCAAGGTCACCATTGTTGAGGCTATTCGCACTCTGTGCTTGAAGTTCCCCAGCAAGCAGGCCGGTATGCTCGTTTTCCTGAGCGGCATCCTGCGCGACGAGGGTGGATATGAGTTCAAGCGCACTGTTGTGGAGAGCATGTTTGATCTGATCAAATTTGTTCCCGAGAGCAAGGAAGATGGTAAGTTTCTAGTCCAGACCTACGCGCACATTTACTAATAAACCTTTAGCACTCGCCCATCTCTGCGAGTTCATCGAGGACTGCGAATTCACAAAGCTCTCAGTCAGGATTCTGCACCTGCTTGGTGCTGAGGGCCCGAAGACTACTCACCCCACTAAGTATATCCGCTACATCTACAACCGTGTCGTTCTGGAGAACGCCATTGTACGTGCCGCTGCCGTCACCGCGTTGGCCAAGTTTGGTGTTGGCCAGAAGGACCCCGAAGTCAAATCTAGTGTTCAGGTTCTGCTCACCCGTTGTCTTGATGATACCGATGATGAGGTGCGGGATCGTGCTGCGCTCAACTTGCGCCTGATGGGCGAGGAGGACGAGGCAGCGAGCGCCTTTATCAAGAACGGTAAGTTCTCGTCCATTGCTGGCAATATTGCTTGATCTGACAACTATAGACTCCATGTACTCCCTCTCCACCTTCGAACACCAACTGGTCATGTACGTGACATCAGGTGATAAACAGACTTTTGCTGCTGCCTTTGACGTTGCTACTGTTCCCGTTGTTTCCCACGAGCAGGCCCTGGCCGAGGAGAGAACCAAGAAACTCACTTCGGCTACCCCCACACTCAAGGCTCCCTCAGCGGGTCCCACGAAGAGCAAGGCTAGCGGCGGTATGGCCGAAGCTGCCACTGCCTCTGCAACTCAGAAATATGCCGAGCAGCTCATGCAACACCCCGACCTCAAGGAATACGGTACTTTGCTCAAGTCCTCTGGGCCTGTCGAGCTTTCCGAGAGCGAGACCGAGTACGTTGTTACAGCTGTCAAGCATATCTTCAAGGAACACATCGTCGTGCAATACGACATCAAGAACACACTTCCAGACACCGTCCTAGAGAATGTCACTGTTGCTGCAACCCCAGAGGAGGACGTATTGGAGGAAGACTTTATCATTCCTGCTCCCAAGCTCCCCACAAATGAGCCCGGTGTTGTCTATGTGGCATTCAAGAAGCTCGGCGGCGAGAACAGCGTTCCCGTCACCTCATTCACAAACAACCTCAAGTTCACCAGCAAAGAGGTCGACCCTACGACCGGCGAGCCCGAGGACAGTGGCTACGACGACGAGTACCAGGTGGAAGACCTCGAGTTGACTGGCAGCGACTATGTCATCCCGACATTTGCCGGCAGCTTCGACCACGTCTGGGAGCAGACCGGTGCCAACGGCGAGGAAGAAAGCGAGACCCTACAGCTCAGCAACATGAAGGGCATCACCGGTACGTATAGTTCCTATTTACTTTCGCCAGGGATACTAACAATTTCCATAGATGCTACGGAACAGCTGATCGCGGCCCTGTCGCTCCAACCCCTCGAAGGCACCGACGTCGCCCTCAACAGCAGCACACACACGCTCAAACTGTTCGGCAAGACCGTCTCCGGTGGCCGTGTCGCCTCTCTTATCAAGATGGCCTACTCCAGCAAAGCCGGTGTCACGACCAAGATCACTGTCCGCGCAGAAGAGGAGGGTGTTGCAGCGGCTGTGATTGCTTCTGTGTCTTAATCTCTCTACTTTACCTGTTTTTGTTGTTATCTGCTTAATCCTGGTTGGGGGGACAAGAGCGTGTATGTTTTCCATGTGTCTTGGCTCGTTAGATTGCGTCGTCCATCCCTTAAAACTTGTCAATGCAACTTTTCTTCCAAATATCATCCTATATTCATGCCACCTACTCTAGGTGTCTCAGTTCTGCTGAGTTGAGTGTAGATACACTGGTTCTCATACCATTACCTAGGCATCTAGCTTTAGAAGATGAAACGCCTTTCTTGGTTCAACATCCGCACTGGGGATATTCATATTAGCTGGGGCTTTCCTACGGTTGCCTACCGTACTTCATATGCCGTTTTTATGATGCTAGGCATCGTAAAGCAAGTCTTATGTAGACCAACGCGGTCGAAACCATATCGGTCGAGCCGCATAAGTGGACATGCTACATTTCCAACCACAAGGAATAGCAACTTTCCAAAGCCATAAGCCCTTTAGGTCTACTCGAGCTCGCAAGTTTGTTTCTCGGTCGCTAGAATAGAGCACAAGTGTGATATGAACGATATTGAATTTTTATTTTGATCTTATATGTCCCCCGAGATGTTATGCAAATGACTCCAATAAGAGAAATCAAGGACGCAGACGCTGGGGGTCACGAGGGAATAGCGAGGCCAGGCGCACATTAGGCAGACCAAGGAAGAACATAACAATACGGTTCAGACCGAGACCACCGCCAGCGTGAGGCGGGCAGCCCTGGCGGAAAGCATTGAGATAATCCTCGAAGCCCTCCTGGTGAGGCTCAAGACCCTTGGCGCGCATAGACTCTTCCAGCTCCTTGATATCGTTAATACGCTGAGCACCGGACATGATCTCCTCGCCACGCATGAAGAAGTCGTAAGAGTTGGAGAAGCGCTTGTCGTTGGGGTCGGCCTTGGTGTAGAAGGGACGGACGGACATGGGGAACTTGTCGAGGACATAGAAGTCAGTGTCGTACTTGTCGCGGATGATCTGGCCGAGCTGCTTCTCCATGGCGGTGGTGAAGTCGTTCTCGAAGCTCTCCTGCTCGGAAACATCGACGCCAGCCTCCTTCAGCAGGGCAACGCCGTCCATGTAGTTCATGCGCAGGGCCTTGCCGTCCTTGGGCAGCTTGAAGTCACCGGCTTTGGGATAGGACTTTTGGATGGTAGCAATCTGGGGGGCATAGCGCTCCTTGAGCTGGGTAAGGATGAAAACAAGGAGGTTCTCGGCGAACTCCAGGACCTCGTGGTAGTGGCCACGGAAGGTCTTCTCGAAATCGAGACCGGAGAACTAAATCAGGTTAGTATAAACGGTGTCTGTCACCGAAAAGAAACTAATTAATCATACCTCGGTCATGTGGCGATGGGTGTTGCTCTCCTCGGCACGGAACACGGGGGCAATCTCGAAGACGTTCTCCATGTCACCAGCAATACACATCTGCTTGTAGAGCTGAGGGCTCTGGGCAAGGTAGGCGTTGCGCTTGAAGTACTTGACCTCGAAGACACCGCTACCACCCTCGGTAGCAGCACCGACCAACTTAGGGGTGAAGATCCAGCGCGAACCACTCTTAATCATGTACTCGGCGAAGAGTTCGGCAACACCGCTAGAAATCCAGGTGATGGCCTGGCTGGTCTCGGTCTGCAGATCGAGGACACGGTTGTCAAGACGGGTCTTCAGGGTGACAATGGGAGCACCGTCGGCATCAACCTGGGCACCTTCATCGGTGGTCTCGGGGGGTGGGCGCTCGGCATCCTTAACTTGCATTGGAAGCATCTGGGCAGCTTCGGAGATCATGTAGACCTTGCGGATGTGGATTTCGAGGTGGCTAATGGTGGCAGACGAAATGGGGATCTCGGGCTTCTTCACGATACCGGTGACCTGCACAATAGAGTTGACGTTCAAACCACCGGTGTACTTGATCATCTGGCGCGAGATGGGCTCCGCGGCGGCGATGACGGCTTGCACCTTCTGTCCCTGCTGGCGGAGCATCAAGAATGCCAGCTTGGCACTCTGCACGCGCGCGTTGTCGACACGGGCCACAACTGTCACTTCCTTCTCGTAGTGCTCCTCTGAGAACTCGGAGAACCGTGTTGAAGGGACCACATCCTCAGTCTCGGGGAGGGCTCCGTATAGATCCTTAGCTGTGTCGTTGGCATCCTGGGCGGCGGCCTGGGCCTTTTCTTGGGCAGCACGCGCTGCAGCCTTCTCAGCCTTCGCCTTGTCCTTGGCGGCCTTCTTCAGAGCATTCTTGCTGGGACCCTCGGCGGCGGGCGCAGATGCGTCTGCGGTTTCCTCGGGCTTGGGACGGTGGGGCAATTCGGAGTCTGCCATGGCGCTGTGAGGGCAATTAGAGAAGGAAACTGAGAGAGAGGTCGATATATCCTACCTCTATGATAGTCTATCACGAGAGAGTAACAAAGCTTTAAACAACGGGCTGATAGGCTTCTGTCACTGCAGATGGATCCTTGACTCACCCCGCCGAATGCCAAGCCCTAAGCCCTAAGAGGGGATGTCACATGATATAATGCCTGAGGAGCCATTTTCTATACAACCAGAGAGCTGATGTACTTGTAAACGTTTGAGCTATTACATTTGCTAATGTGGTTAGCGCATGCTGCTATGTACTCTACACAGCCTGCGCCATTCTTGCTAACCCCCACATCTATACATCTTACTAGACATCCGCTCAGAATCAAGCGGCGGGCCATTTGGAGCTCTCCAACGCCCATTGAACAGCCTGGTGTACATTGTCCGCAATGGTTTGAGGGGTCCAAGCAGGCTCACCGCCTCTGTAGACGCCAGTCCGAACAAGGATCGAGTGCCAGCTACTGCCAAATTCACTGCGGTAGGAGTTTGCGCCCCGAATATCAGACTCGGGATTATCACCGACCATATAGACTCTTTGCAAAGGCGGGAAATCTGCAGAATCACCAAACGTCTTCATTCGGTTGCGGAGCATCTGTCGTTCCGCAAATTCGTACGTAGGCTGATAAGGTTTCCCGATCACGGTCTTCTTCAGCTCAATGCCCTTGCTGGGGCCTCCTGTAGTCGCGGCCCAGACACCCTCGAGTGCCTCTCGGAAACCGCCCTGGCCCAGACGGGGCAAGGGATAGGCGGCAGCCCACCACAAGTCAGGGTTGGAGAAATACAGGTGAGGCTGGCCATCCTGTTGGTAGCCGTGGTTGGGTAGATCGATCCGACCGTTCTTCTCGGACAAGGTGCCCATACGGCCCTGTGACGAGAGAAGAAGATCCATGATCACCTGGGTGTCCAATGCCCAATCTCGGGGGTCATTGAACACAAAGACAGCGTCAATTTTGAGACTCTTTAATGGGTCATTCAAGTCAATTGGCTTAGGTAGCGGGCGGGCGAACGTCTTGTAATAGTCGCTGAAGTTCTTGGAGAACGGCCAGATGGCCGAGTTCGCCATGAGGATATCTCCCGGGGTGACAACATTCCTAAATCCGTACCTATAACCATGTTTAGCATCAACTGCAGAGACATGGTGAAAGCGCTTCAACATACTGTTCTGCCACGCGCCGACAGTTATCCCCATCGCCTCCGGCAACTAACACGCATTTGTGCTCAAGAGAGCTAGCCTCATCGGTTCCCTTAACCAGCTCCGCAAAAGGTGAATGGCTCTGCACAATGTGTGTGGGATCCAATGGGACTTGTAGCTTCTCACTGATCTCAGCGACGCGCTCTGTCTCGTGCTTGCCGCCGCCATTGGTGAGTAGGATGAAGGGAATACCCTGCTCCTTCAAGAGGGCCAGTGAGTCCGCAGCACCCGGGATAGGTTTCGAAGCTCGCAGGAGAACACCGTCGATGCTACACAACGGGATTAGATCGCGAAAGGGTCGCCGGCACATGGATAAGACTTACTCGAATGCAAAGGCAAAGTCAGGGATAGGCCGAGAACTGGCCATCTGAATAGCCCGACGGGTAACAGGTGCATAGCGAGCGATAGGTCGCAGCAGGCTGAATGACCGCCACATAGTTTGCGGTCTCATGGTTGTGGTTGAAAACCGTTCCCAGGATGTGTACAGATGTCGTCATCTGGGGATCCGGAGCGCCAAGACTGTTTATCGATCCGCCAAGACTTTCGTACTTGACATCTGAAGCCTTGCCGATTGATTGATGCCTCATCCTCCAGATACTTGTTTACAAACAGAAAACGGTTCAAAAAAACATCCTCTCATTGAAGTATAAGATGCAAACCAGGCCTTATGATGAACCACTTCTTATAGGTTATGTTCAATGCGAAAATATGTATTCCTCTGTTTCATGAGCCGCTTTATTCTCATCAACTTAGTAGTACTCCAACAAGTTAATTTATGCCATAACAGACATCCATGCACTTGTAATAGAAGATATACCCGAGAGATCTTTTGATCAATGTCTTGCGTAATCCATACGTGGTCAACAAAGCTCATTTTCTATTTCGTAGAGACCTAGGTCATAGACATAGTCCAGTTCATTCTCCGGGCACTCATCAATATTCTTCCAGATCTTCTTATCAATTCTGGAATGAGATTCCTTTGGTATTAGATCGAGGCACTTCGGAGAGATACCCAATCCGCAAACCCGCGAAAGATTCCGTCCCAGGGCCTTTTGGAGCTCATCAAGATCAAACTCCGGCTCGAATTCTTCCTCATATTGTGCTGTGAGGATCAATTCGCGAATTGAGAGCGGCGAGCTAATTTCATCGGATGCAGGGAGAATGAGCAATGAATACAGAAGATCAATGGGCACCTCAAGCCGTCTCAACCCGACCAAGCCACTTAGAATAGAGGTTTCATCATCACCCAGCATATTGCCATTCGAAGAGTGAAGAGACAATGCGCGCAGCGTTGTGCAGAGTTGGTGATTCATGAGAATCAGTTCAAGAGTGAAAGGGTTCAGGTCTTCACAGCCACAGAATGCGAGACTAGTAAGATTTGGTGGCCACCTGAAAGTAGGCATCGACTCCAGGTCGAATTTTCCACCCAGCTGCATGTGCTGGATATTTGGAGGCCAGCATGAACCCGATTGATCGTCAGTGATCAACATCGAGGACGGCAGAAAAAGCGACCTCAGCTTGTGAAGATTGCCAATTGCCTTTTTGAGGACGGGAAGCTCGATAGGCTCTATCACTAGGCCGAGGCGGAGGTGAATGAGCTCTTTGCATTTCGACAATGGCGCAAGGCTATTGATACTGTAGGAGTAGTTTAGCCAGGTTCATTAAAGAAGCTTGATAAAGATCAAACATACGAAAATGATGTCCTTGGAGCAACAAAAACCTGCAGGTTCTTTTTTACGCGACCAAGCAGCCTTGATGTCAGGCTGTTCGAACTTTGGTGTACCAGTCCAGCGAGCCACAAGAAGCGGACCATTGACCCGAAATCCAGAGTCGGTTTCTTGGCACGAAGAGGTGGGCACACCGTGCTTGTAAATTGCGCAAAGCTGCTTCCTTTACTAAGATCAGGCCGGGAGTACAGAATTTCGATGCCGGCAGAATACCACTGGCGAGACACTAAACAGAAGCTGTGAAGTGTTGCTTGATCCCCAAATGGGGAATCCGTCTGGGAATCGTCGTCCTCCCGAGAGTCCCGTATGCATTGCGCAATCTCGACAAGGATTTCGGTCGGTAGATAGATATGCTTGCGGGAAGCCATGGCTTGAGCAATCACGGGATTGGTGTTCTTTTTTTCTGTGGGAACCGGTCCAGAGGTTATCAAGGAAGCATGATCGACACTGAGGTCAAGGTTGGGTTGGAAGGAATGAAAATAAATAATAGAGAGTGCTACTGAATGTTTGGGTCATCTCTAGAAAATTGAAAATGAGATTGAGGCAGGGTTCTTCCACAATGACGAGAGAGAATGAGAGAATGTTCAAAATGAAGGGAGTGAAGACAAATCAGCCATGAGGGGTAAATTGGAGAAAGATGAAGTGAAGATGACATCCTTATCTTTTTTTCTGGCAGATGCAGATCCCGCCTTCAGATAAACATCACCGCCTTAGATAGTGATAGAATTGACTTGAGTTCAATATAGTCACCCTTCTATTACCAGTGTTGCTCTCAGTGATTTTCCAGCTTGCCTATGCAAACGCGTTTGCACAGTGCCGCTGTCCGGGCCTAAACTCCAAGCTCAAAATCACCACCTTCACCTCACCATGCCTGACAAGCGAAAGAGCGACCTCGCGCCTCCCTCCCCTAAACGTGCCAAAATGTCTTATGATGAGGATGGGGGCGAGGACCAGTCCTCGCCCTCGCATCACGAGCGCCCCCGCAATGATCCTACGTATGGCCAAAAGAACGCATTCCCGGGCTTGGATGACGGAGGTGATGAGCTATTTTACGGGCCCGCCGAGGATGGATTAGAATATCTGCGCATGGTCCGGTAAGCTTGCCCGTTGGTACCCTCTCATTACTTGCCCATTACCCCCTGTTCTGCACCGCAGGGTTCGAGCTTGATCTGACTTTGTTGCATAGATCCGAAGCCAACTCCCTCCCATCGCTATTCTTCAAGCCTACTCCAACGGCGAATCCTCCTAAACCAACATCAGATGAGCAGCAATATGCGAAGACGGTCGGAAAAACCAAGTCGTACCCGAGAGGCGGCTTTTACGCCGATGAGGCTTACATCGCCCCCGCGGAGGACATGGACCAAAGTGCGGCCGCGCATTCCTCCTCGAAAATCGACCAACTCTACCCTGATGCACAAATATCTTATTACACTCTTCTTCGGCATCGATTCTTACTCTTGCGGTCGACCCTCCGATGCAGCCCGCCTGCCGAGGCTATCAGTGCCCTTGACCATGCCCACCCTATTAGCCTCCCCCGAAATGCCTTGTCGGCGCACAAGGAGTGGCGCCGTCTGTTACTCGCAGTCGACCCACAAATGGTGCAGCTGGCGTGCATGGACACGGATAGTGTACTGGAAGTGCTAGAATTACTGGCGCGGATGATGTCCGATGTTGTCCGAAGTGAAGACACCGAACGCGTGCGGCGCATCGGGGCCTGGGCATGGGGTCTACTGGGAAAGAGCCGTGAGGTTGGAGAGTTGGCCACCGAGGATGTGGGTACCATTCGAAATCTAGGAAAACGAGCTGCGACGATCCTACGAAAGATACAAGAGACGGAGAACAACCGATTCCAAGAGGAAGAGGATTCTGAATCGCCCGTGTCCGATCTGGAGGAGATGGACCAGCTAGACATGAAAGACAAGCATGTTGATGAGATCAAGGAGGAAAGATTGCCTGTGACCGCGGAAGCACGAGACTCCAGCGTGCTTGATACGTCAGAGCAGTCTCAATTGAAGGCTGCCAAGGCGCGCCTGCAAGCTCAAATTCAGGACCATGCCGACATAAGTGACCCTACTGAATCGGATAATGAGGACTTGTTGAAACAGACTCGCGCTCTGCTGGACATGGTGATTACCGTTGTGGGTGAGTTCTATGGCCAACGGGATCTGTTGGAGGCACGCGAGATTTGGGCTAAGGAATGAATTTGCGTCGAAATTTGTACGAGATACCCATAGCGATTAACTTAATTTGAAGTTGCAATGTGCAAATATGCCAATATGCCATTCTCGTGTGCCTTCGTAGATGTGCCTGATCACCAATACAAGGTCGGGTGGCCTAAGCTTTTGCGTCATACGGAGCTCCCCAGGTAACCGTCTCTCTTTACCTCCAACCTTACCCTCGAACAATGATACTTCAATTTAACCATGGCGCCAACTGTTGAAATAGCCATCCCAAATACCACCATCTCACCCTCCTCTCCGCCCTATACTGTCTATCACATCTCCCTCCGCCTCCCGCTCCGCTCCTTCACCGTCCCCAAGCGCTACTCGGACTTCACAACTTTCCACAACAATCTCATCTCCCAAACAAACGCCCCACCACCAGCTCCCCTACCTTCAAAAACATGGTTCTCAAATACAGTCTCGAATGAGCGCTTGCGCGAAGACCGCCGCTGCGGCTTAGAGCAGTACCTCCGCGCAATCAACGAATCCGATGATGGCCGCTGGCGGAACTCGCCTGCGTGGCGTGCATTCTTGAACCTCCCGACGGCAGTCGCCTCAACGAGCAACGGATCAACAACTACAACTACGCGACTCCATGCAGCCATCACAGACCCAGACGCTACAAACGCACCCATTATGGACCCAACACTATGGCTCGACTACTACCGCGACATGAAAGGCCACCTCCACGATGCACGTCTACAGCTGTCTCGCAGAGATCAAGAGACCACACCGCAGAAGCAGCACGAAAGCTCAGCACAAGCGAAGAGCTGCCTTGTCCGCGCGGGAACCATGATCACCGCACTGGACGAGGGTCTCAAGAACATAGCAAGCGGAGACAAGACATCGTCGACACTAGGCGGCGGTGAGATCCGTCGACGGAAGGATCTTCTTATCAATGCACGCAAGGAGAAAGACGGCCTGGAGGACCTACTACATGCTATGGCGACGAAGAGCAGGCTTGACCGCGCCGTGGCATCTATTCAAGACAAGGAAGCTTTAATGAGCACCGGAAATTCGGGCGGGGATTCGGCAAATGGTGGGCGTAGGACGCCAGCTCGGACGGGCAGAGTTCTTGGGAAAGAGACGGAGCGGACTCGTGAACTTGATAATGAGGGCGTGCTTCAACTTCAGCGGCAGATAATGCAGAGCCAGGATGCTAATGTTGACGAATTGATGAAGATCATTATTCGACAGAGGGAGCTGGGTACTCAGATTAACGAGGAGCTTGAGGTGCAGAATGAGCTGCTGAAGTTGGCGGATGAGGAGGCTGACATGTTCGTCCATCCCCTTTGCTTAATTGTGTTTGCATTGCTGACGATATTCCCAGCTTGAAATCCAAGATCGATGTTGGAAAGAAGAGGATCGGAAAGATCTCTTGATTCTTGACATTCAGATTGACAATGCGTATTTGCATTTCAACATAGAGCTTGTTTCTTTCTCTTGTTTGGTACATTCTTGAGCGGGAATTCATTTGGCGTCATGATATGAACCAGTCAATTTCTAGGTGAATTGAGAGATTTGAATATTTACAAGGATATCTCTTTGACAATTAATTCCGTAGGGAAGGTAGAAGATTCCGGTGCTGCTATATCTGCATCGTGGTGCAGGCTGATTGTCTCTTCCATGAGCCTGGTATTGTTGGCCAACAGCCCTTAGTCCTACTTTCTCCGAGAGCATCATTTCCAGGAACTTGTGAAGATTGTGAACACCCGCGGCCGAGGGCTAGCTAGAGTGAGCTCCGGTATAACTTTTAATCTTCTCATCGCACCGCGAGAACAGCATCCCGGGGGTCATCAACAACAGGTTCAGGCGAGCGACTTTTGGTTGGGTAGGTGATGATATCAAATGCCTCCAGTCCCATGGAAGCTGCAACCAGATCAAGCCATTTATTGGGAGATGGCAGATCTTTCTCAGGGCCATCCGCTTCAATGGGTGTTGAGTTGGCGCCTTTGGACCCCCGAAGTTTAGAAACGAGATGAAAAGGTAAAGGATCCACCATTTGGTCCCCATCGCAGGATTGAGTGTCCGCCTTGTAGCCGTCAAGGTAATCGACCAGAAGACCAAGAATGTACATACAGATGTCGCAGCCACGAAGAACGCTGTTTGCAAATTCCTGTGGGAACGTCGAGGGAATAGGACCAATGAAAGCCGCCTTGTCGCTAGATTCAGTGCCGTTATTATCATCTGGCTTGCACCATTGATATTTCTGTACCGCAGCTGCTAAGCGAAGGTGAGCCGAGAGTGTATAGATAACCTGGCTGCAGCTCAAGGCTCGTGCCGAGAGCTGCTGTGCAGCCTGTCCTGGGTTATCCGTTTGTCCCAGTCGTCGAGACTCAAACAGCAAACCTGGGATCTTAGCGACTTCAATAAAGATTCGATCCTGCAAGTCGATGAAAAGAGCAATGGGTCCATCAACCCGTGGATCAGCCATATCTTCACGGCGAACTTGATGAACATGTGCCTGCCATTCCGGCCGCTCGAATATACAGCGCTTGTCATTCAAAAAAGCCTCGGCGATAATGAAACTCCTGAAAGAAAGGTAAAGACAGCGATCAAAGCCTGTCAAGTGAGCCTCAGGGCCACGGTGAGCCATGAGCAGAGCCGTACCACCAGCATGGTGAGCCCAGGAGTTCGGATTCGTGCGAGAATATGCCTCAAACAAGCTTAGCACGATAGTAATGCTAACACTTTCACGAGATTTCATCGCAGCCTCGTCTCGGATCCTGTCGCCGAACAACCGAAGCGCCTTACTGTACATCTCCTGACTCGAGCGCCGCAGCTTATCATCGATATGGGTGTATCCCATGAAAACTAAGTTCATGCTGTAGACGGCCGCGTCAAATGCTGGACTTTTCCCGCCATGTTGCGCGACATATGTTGTCCACGGTACGTGCACTCGGTATCGGTTTAACCCGAACCAGCGTGTGAATGAGGCCATGACGAAGTCGCCGAATATCACCGGCTGTTGCTTGCCCATTGTTCGGGCAACTAGTGAGGGTGCAATGCGCTCGTCGATGGACTCGGGTGCTGGTTCTGACTTTTTGGCAAATCGGGTTCGGAGCTGTGGTCCTTCGTCCATGAACTTGCGGTTTCTGATGTAGCCCGGGCATTCGACGCCGTATTTTTGACATTGGGTACATTTCGGTCGTAATAGATCACACTATTGTTAACAAGATCGGCTTAGTAGTGTACTCTGAGCCTCGAGAGGGAGGGGAGTCCAACCTTCACACGTCGTTTGATACATATTTGGCAGCCCTTACTTTTGGGAACGCCAACCATGATGGAATGACTCTGTTGGCTCTTGCCTTGACATTACCAACCTCTTAAGTCCAGAACAAGAAGACTGCAAGTCAAGAACGGGGATATAAATTGATCCTTTGATATCAATCGTATGGATGGTTCATTGTGCGAAAACAACCCACCAGTGTGCGAGTTGTGCGGCTGTTTTGCAAAATCTAGACTGCGACAACACGAAGCAAACCACGCTGTCTGGAGTGTATACACCGAGGGATAACCTTGAAAAAGACGAACCAAGAGAGAAAAGACAAAGAGACGAACCCGGCACCCCGCCAATAGAAAGCAGTGGCCGATTTCCATATTTAGCTACATCCTCGACCCTTTGGCCCGTGTAAGGCTTGCATCGCGCATTGACATAGTCCAATCGCAACAGTTTTTCTATAGTGCGAAGTAAGAATAGAAGCGGGTGGAAGGGAATAGCAACGGGGACGGGGAATGTCCGTCCAAGTAAACCTGAAAAAGAGCACAGGCGCTCAAGCGCCCAACCAAAGCCAGGAATAACTGCGCCAAGAGGTCGGTAAGCTTAAATCATTCGTTTGTTGCTGGGGCTTGGCCTGAGGACGGGAAGTTGTCCCGTGGTTTGGTTGGTAGCCGAAGTGATTCAATATGGCATAGCGCATAGCGAAAAATTAGGTCAATCATTTCTATTTGGATTGTCTGCCAAGGGACTTGAGTTTGGTCATAGATTCCCTAAATGAGGATTTTGATCCCGCCGTGTGCGCCAAGCCGAGCCAGATGTTTGCAGAAACTTTATGTTAGTTCCGATGCGTTGAAAATAACGCACACCGAAATTAGCCTATTCAAGGTGTTACTTATCTATCTTCATGTGCATCTCACCGCTATTGTAAACTCAAAGAGATCAAGCTGGATGTCGAGTTCGTCAGTTTGGTATCGAAGTATGGATTCTTCGGTACATGAGCCTCAAGAGGCCTGGATAACGTAACCTGCCTCGGCTCCCGTAGAGCCAAACTATTGAGAGGAACTAGATCAATAAATTTGTCATATGAAATACTCACTTGATATGACTCATCTTCTTGCCAATATAAGCCTAAGCCATTTAGACTGTCTGCATCATGCATATAGCTATCTCAAGTTTGGCAGGCGGCACAATCCCTCTCTCAGCCAGCTTAGCAATAACATGAAAAACACGAACAGACTAGCCTTGACAATTCTCAATAACAAACTGCCGAAGGTGCACGTGGAGGAGGTTCGCATTCCGCAACTTGCTTCACTACCCGCGCTTGTTCTTCGGACACCATAGCCAGTTGATAGAGGGTCGAAAATGACTCAGCTTGAGTCTCATTTACCAAGTTTTCGGGCTCATAAGCCATGGATTCTGCATCGCCTTTGACCTGGTAGACGGAGTCTGGTTGGTTTTCGTGGGCGACGAACAGTGACCACTGGAATGGTTTTCCTGGGCCTTGCGCATGGTGGACTAAAGAGAGATAGAGAGGCGCGGACTCGAGTGGGGCTGTGACTCGGCCTTGTCTTCTGGGGTATACTCTGTCCATGGTTGTGCGCCTCTTTGCGCGTGAAGGTCCGTCCATTCACCGTGCAAATCTCTCTGCCTAGGCCCTATTGTTTTGATAGGCGTGTCTGGGGTTGGATAGTTGCTCATTCTGTCCGAGACTTTGTACTTTGTGTGAATGTTAGAAAAACTTTGATAAATTAGCCGCAGAAGCTGTGAGATGATGAGGCTGGTGCGTTTTAGAGAGGTGAAAGCTGATGCTGTTCCACTGTTGAAGTTAGTCATGTGTTCCGCAGACCCCTGCATCCCTGCTAGGTGCATTGCGACTGATCTATTCTAGAGAATTGACCTACTGTACGACACCGGTGGCTAATTATTTCAATCTTGTCGTGTTTAGTTGCAGAGAGGGGTTGCCAATCTTGTTTCCATGTGAAGGGGAATTATAGAATAATATTTATAAAGAGAGAGTTTACCACACATGCATATTGCCGTGGTACATGCGCCCATCCTTGTTGAGGATGAGACTCGTCTAAGAAAAATAAGAAAAACGGTATTACAGTATATACAGAGACTTTTCCTAAATGTTCAAGTCAACCCATGCCTCTCGGATTACCGGGTTTCCACCGAGGTTGACACATCGACTGTCCGCGTAATCCCTACACCATCAAATTTCATGCTCTCGGAGCCTTCTTGTCGCTGACTGTCACCATGAATGGTAGTCTCAACCCTTGGATTGCCTTGTGCATTGTACACAAGTCCATCCTCATCGGAGTCCAGCTCCCTAACACTCAGTTGGTTTTTGCTTCGTTCAGTCCTTGTCTGATGTTTCATTGAGCTCATCTTATATGTCGATTCGAGTGTCGCTTTGTTGCTGGAATAATCGTTATAGATGCGAATGACGAGGGCAGAAAGAGCTGGGAGACAGGTGCAGATCACACCAATGGAGACTTCGGCGTTACTAGAAAATTCATCAATTAGCTGGCTCCAATAGTAAAGAAAAGACCATAAACACAGAAACATACCCAAGCATGTTGATTCTCATGAAAGCCAAAGAAGCATCCTTTGATTGTCCGGTTACCACAATCAGTGCTAGACGGATAATACTTGATGCAACAGCTAATCCACCCGCCCCCAGGATACCCATAACCCTCATTTTTCTCCTTGTCGACATTTGCAAACTCAACGTCAACGGGATAGGGAGAATAAGAATAATCAAATCGCTGGCAACACTGACCACGGCATCGGCCAGGATAATGGAGTTCTTGTCAAGGCACGTACCGGCAATCGTCGGGTCCCAAAATCTGGGGATGGGGTTGCAAATCCGGATTTTGACGATAACAGCGGGGATGTAGTAGGCCAACATGATGCCCATGAAGACCCTGATGAAGATGACGCATTTTCGGAAAGGACTAAACACACGGGTCATGATCCAGAGAAGGCAGACCTTCGTTAGGTAGGCGGTTGGTCCGTACATGACCATCGTCACGTAGATAGTCTACAATGTTAGTACTCTGAAGTATCCGGTAGTAGGGCGTTGCATACCTTTTGAAAAGGGATTTTATCTTCTTCATGGACTTCAGACCAATGTAAACCACCTCCATAATGTCCCACTGCAAGTGTGTTAGAGAGGGAATGGTGGAGAGGTAGGGCTGGACAACATACTGACGAGGGCAATAACCGAGTAACAAATACCAAGAAACTTCAGAATTCATTGTCAGTATTATCATAACAGCTGTGCTCGTTTTGATTCCCTACCGAAGCTATAAAACATGCACCTATCTTGGTCGTTAGTACTTCTCGCTTTGCGTGTAACAGTTCAACTCACAGTCCTCTTTGCCAAACCCGCTGAGAATAAACACCCGGGTATACATGCGAAGACCAAAGAAAACAGTCATTGCAATAATGCATAGCGACTGACAAGCGTAATTCCAGTTTTGCACACTTCGATCGATAGAAGCATCCCCAGATGCTCGCTCCAATAGAGATGACATGGCGTGCATTGTCAAGAAGGGTAGGGCTGAAAACCAACCACGAGAAGAGGCTAATTGAATCAGGACAGTCCCCCTTTAAACAATATTCCAGAGAACCCAGCCAAGATTAATATAGCGGAGACCAATCGCTAGGTTTGGGTACCGTTGTTGACCAAAATTGTACCGTACGCCTAAAGTTACCATTACGGTCCACAGGCTCTGTACAATAGAAATAGGGTATTGATTGACCACGATCGGCTCCTCTGAAACGCCAGGAAAGTATCACTGATGATAGACATAAGCAGCAACCGACGATCGAGACTAACCTTACCACAGGTCCGCGGATAAGAAATATCCGATGTAGTGTTTCGTTAACCAATTCTTAGCGCCGGTGCTGATACTGTACCTGTATATTCCATGCAGCGAGTACGCAGCGCCCCAAACGCATAACGGATGTACATATAGGTCCATGCATTTGCACCTAGGCTGGGATGTTACTGTGTTAATCACATGTTGTTCTATGCGTAGTATGCCATTCTACAGAGTAGGCAAGCAAAAGTACATGCACATGTACAGTTAGTCTGCACAAGCCGTATTCAACTATTGTATTAAACAACTAATGAATGCTCAATCGAATGGGCTTCCTGCACATATCACACGATCGATTCCAATATCTGGTCTTCTCTGTAAAGGGTAGGTATACTAACGTCGCCTATGTCCACCAGAGAGATCCTACACTATCATACTTTCAACTTCGGCTTTTACATGTAGAGCCGTTTTTTGAGAGTGAAACTAGTAGGGATGAGAAAGTAAATGACCCGTAAGGTTTCACCTGAAATTGAGATGGGGGCCAAATTGACAAGCGGGAAGTGGATCCCTAACGGCCCCGTAATGTACCCGATTCCCCGATGGACTTCCACCTTCCTGTAAACCTGCGACAGTCAAGATGCAAGTTAAAGTGGGGGGTTATCAATAGGCCCGGTGGAGAATTGGTTCTTTTGCCAGCCCGTCGCCGAGAATAAACCCAAAATACGAGCCAAACTCCACACACAATGAATTTCGCACAAACCTCTTGGTGAAATGACGCCCAGTGGACCCGAGGGCTATCATTATTCATAAACTTTACTGTAGCTTGAAGAAACTTCACTCAGGTCAACGAAAGCGGAATGTGTTGTGGATGTATAAAGTTCGATCGCGTGCGTCCCGGCCCATCAGCCCACATTTATTTAGTCACTGCTTTCTGTGTCTCCATCTCCTGCAATCTATTTGACTAGTCCAGTCGACCTGGCATAATCCTGAGACCCTTGCAAATGTACAGTGGTGCCATGGGGTTGCTTAAAAAGGTTTCTGGATTCTGACAGCTAGATGACTATATGAAAGTCTAGGCAGTGCCGATCTAGAAAATCGCCATCATATTCGGAGGCGATGACACTCCACCAGGCATGTTCAATGGCACGGATGTCACGAAGAAGCTCCACCTCTGGAGCTCTTGGCAGGTGCGGGCCAGTGCTTCGAGATCGAAAAGTTCCCCTGTGGTTCTCAGTTGGAGCGGACATTGAGTTTTCTTGTTCTGCTAACTTACCGATTGGCATACCCCATCCAGCTAGCACATACTCGTGCAGGAAGATGTCAGGGGATTGAGGCGGATAGACCTGCGCATTTGTTAGTTAAACCCCTGCAGTAATCGACTTTCCACATGGCAAGATTTGAGGGTTCTGTTGTTATCTCACCTCCCAACTAATCGCGTCACTAGCAATAGCGGCGAAGCCAGTATCCCAAAGCCAGCGAAGGATGTCGGTAGTTGCTTCGACCCCAGCATGCTCCGGACTAGCGTTGTCGGAATATGCCCGTTTTTGCCCGTCTGTCATGGATGTGTCCCACTCCTTGGTCACCCCAACCCGGACGAAAAGGATGTCCCCCTTTTGGAAGGTGATGTTGTTCTCCTTTGCAATCTCAAGGATGTCGGCAAAGCGGACTTGATGGGCTGAGAACGTGGTATATTTAATTCCCTTTTTCTCAGCCCACGTCGCGTAGTCAATTAAGACTCCACGTCCTACAATCATTTAGATAAAGGGAGATTTATGGGAGAGATATCCATACCTGCGATTCCCTCTCGAGCCCAGTGCTGGAGGCCAATGCGATCATTTTGACGATCATTAATCTCTTCAACGGTTGTTCCGCCATAGAACACACGCTCAGATTGACCGGGGACTGTTTGAGAAAAATGGCGCAGACCATCCCACTGACTACTTTGCTCTGTGCAATAGTTAATACCGATGCAGGGAACTATTGAAAATTAAAAAAAAAAAGCAAATCCTCGACTCACGTGGATTCATAGTGTACACATCGTCAAATGCCACACCTCCCAGAAGAGGCACAATCTTGTGATGACATGGTTGACGATTGAGATTGGGATAATCCAGTTTCGTCAGCTCCCATCCCATAGTCACGCGGCGGCCACACCTGATCTCGCCGGCCGCTGCCTTAGCGACGACTTCAGGGGTAAGAATCGCCAGCTTTCCGAGGCCCTCTTCATAACTCCCAGGCTTTCCCAGCCACACCTGTCTCGGGTTGGGAAGCTTATCAAAAGGGATGTCAAAGGGAGACTCGGCCATGGTTTCGGTTGTGAATGAAGTGACCAGGACAGGGAATTTGGTTTCTTGGCTATTTAACAAGATAGTACTTCGTAACTTACCGGTGGACTTTACAAAGCGGGAAACAGCATGAATCTACTCCATAAGGGACTGACTTTTATGTGGAGGTAATCTACATCATGGGCTTAATACCGTGGAGGGCTTAATACCGTGGAGGGCTTAATACCGTGGAGTGGACCTTGACCTTACTTTTGGACTCAGACTGTTGCGTCGGACCAGGTCCGCGCTGGAATGTACTGGAGGGCAGCTATTTGATTCGAGGGATCTGCAGATCACCCAATAACTTACATCTACCTTCCTAGCCTGGCAGAAGTCAGCAAATGCCGTATGGACGTCCTAGATTGGTCCAGCCTTAGCCGCAGCCATTGCTATGATCGTCCGTCCACTCGTGTCGCGCCTCCGTATGAACTTAATGCACGTCTGTGGATCAGCTCCACTACGTGTCAAGCAAATGGACACCCCTGTTTATGTCGCCTACAAATGTCCTTGGAATTCTCTTTGTCCTGCACTCAATTGGTATTGTTAAAACCCTTACTTATCCACTAATCTCTTAACTGCGGTCAAGTTGGGAGACTACCAAAGGGCATCATGGGTAGATTCGGGTCCCAGACCAGTACCTATAACAGGCTGGTGGCTATTTTCGTCGCAATTGGGTCTATGGTAAGCTCTTGCATCTTTCTCCATAGCTTTTACGGTACTAAAATGTTGGATTTACACAGACATATGGTTATTGCACGTCGATTATTTCTAGTACGATCGGCCAGCCGGGATGGTATACCTACTTCAACCTCCCAGCTGATGGAGAACCGGGATACGCCACGATCACGACTCCCGCAATCTCAACAGCCAATGGTGTCTTCAGTGCCGGTGGCGCTGTTGGTACACTCTTTATAATGTGGTCGTGTGACTTCTTTGGTCGGAAGGCGAACATTCAGTTTGGTGCCTTCTTTTCGCTGTTTGGAGGAGCTCTTCAGGCTGGCTCCAACTCGTTGCCGTAAGTAGCGATCTTAAATCGTCATCCTTGCATTTGTTTTGACAATATCTAGCATGTTCCAAGCTGGACGTTTCATCTGCGGTCTAGGAATTGGTATCCTAGTAACCGTCTGCCCTATGTATCTTTCCGAGATGTCGAGCGCCCTGCGTCGTGGCTGGCTTGTTGGCCACCACGCGATATTCCTAGTCTTTGGCTACATGCTTTCTGCGTGGGTTGGCTATGCTTGCTACTATGCAACAGGCTCCTTGTCTGGATTTGGCTGGAGGTTCCCTCTGGCTTTGCAATGTCTGCCACCACTGATGCTGCTGCTAGGATCTCCGTGGCTCCCACGCTCGCCTCGTTGGTTGATCTCGAAGGGCAAATTTGACGAAGCGGAACACGTTCTCATCAAGCTTCGCGAATCACAAGAGGACCCAGATAACTTGGTTGCCAAGGAGGAGTTCTTCCAGACAAAAGAGCAGATTCGACTCGAGGCCGAGAAAATGGCCCAGTACGGCAATGTGTGGAAGGCGGTATTCAAAAAGAAGACTTACCGAAAGCGCATGGCGATCGGTTTCCTTACCCAGTGGGGTGCTGAATTCGGTGGTCCTTTGATCATTGTAAGTTCGGCTGTTTTACTGAAGAGAAAATGCGTGCTGACAATCACCTAGAACAACTATGCGGTTCTATTGTATACCAACTTGGGCATGAAAGGTGGTATGCCTTTGCTTCTGAGTGCCATTTGGCTGACAACAGCCGGTAAGAGCAAAATTCCAAGTTCAATTATCTATATATTTGCTAACTGAAGTCAGGTGTGATCTATAACCCTCTCGGTGCCTGGCTTCATGATAAGGTCAACTCTCGGCGGGGAATGTACATGACAGGCTTCGTAGGCATCATTGTCACTACTTGTTGCCTGGCTGCAATGACCGCTCAGTATTCGGGTACTACCAACAAGGTCGGAAATGGATTTGGTATCTTCTTCATGTACCTGTATCTGGCTTTCCAGGGGTAAGTTTGAGAATTTCTAGCATATAACTCTCGCGAGATTTGAGGAGCTGACATGGTTGCAGTACATTCTGTGACACTACCATGTACCTCTACGTCTCAGAGATTTTCCCAACTGAGATTCGTCCAATTGGCATGGGTTTCTCTCTGTTTGGTCAATTTGCAGGTAAGTTGATTGTGTTTTCGATCAATTTTTGACTGTCAGCTAACATGACAAAGCCACTATCATTCTCCTGCAAACCGCTCCTATGGGCTTCAACAATGTTGGCTGGAAATACTATCTGGTCATTATCTGTTGGTCTGTATTTTTCATCCCAGGTATGATCCTTAGTCCAACCCAGAATATACGTTGGATCGCCAGAACTAATCATATTTACAGTGATCTACTTCTTCTTCCCGGAGACTGCCCGTCTCACCTTGGAGGAAATCGCACAGAACTTCGGCGAAGAGGTCGCTGTTCATTTAACAGATAAGACCGACGAGGAGAAAGCCCAGCTTGACCACCAACTTGCTCATTCCGGTGGAGTCCTCCAGCAATCCGTGACCTCAAGCTCTGGAAGGGAGACCGAGAAAGACAGTATCCCCTCGCCGGTAGAGCAGGGTGAATCAAACACGACGAAAGCGGAATAAACACACCCATTGGTTAAAAATATTGTTCATTGGGAAAAATTCGCACTGAGCACACCGCAGCTGGAAACTCGGTCTAATGATTGGGACTATTTAATGATTCATATAAGTCCATAGAGGAGGAAAGTATGCCCTGTGCCGAAATCGCTAACGCAGGATTGGTTAAATTGACAGAATATCATCAGCCCTAGGACTATTTAGCTCCGTCATGTACCAAGAAAGTGACCTATAGGTTCGCCAAAGTGTTAGTATACGAGGTCGAGCTTCCGAGTGGTCTATAGATTAAACCAAGCATTTGGCCTTTTCTGTGTTGCTTCCCTCAAATAGGGCCACAGATTTTGAGACTATCTTTTGATGCGGAGCTAGTTGGCTTTATGATTCTGTGTTTAGCCAGGTACACTACTCTTATACTTGGATCATGGTTTATCTACTGAATTTACATCCTATTGCAAATTAGTGAATTGTTTCATGCCCTATCCCCAGGTGGTCAAGGTGGGGTTTAGATTGAGTTAACAATTTAACATCGGCTTATAAATCATATTGGGTCCGGGAGCAATGAGTCACTCAGGTAGTTCTCTACTTTTCGACCAAAGCAGATTGATTTCCATATGCAGAATGGACCTTGCTACGAAAGTGACTCTGTTTCCATGGGATCCCAATTCGGATCTTCATGTAGAATTGCTTGTGAAGCAACGGGTGGAATGCAGTTGGGACCAGGAAAAAGTTGAAGCGAAATGGAAAGAACAACAACTCAAGGGTGAGAAGTGTATTTATTGGATTGTGAGTCCTTTAAAATAACGGAATCTTCTTATATTTTGTTGAATATGAAGGGAAGTGTTCTAATACTTGACTATCAAGGTGCTGCCATGGCATGAATCACAGGTGGCATCAGAAGACGAGAAGCTTCAAGATACAGCGACTGCAATCAATGCTGTACCCCGTCAGCCAACAAAAGTGAGCTTTATTCCAATCGGTCATATCTCGCTGGATTCCAAAAATGTCGAAGCAGAGCACATTGACCTAGACCTGCCATCTAAAAACGTCTTCTGGATTAAGACATTCTATATCAGACAACACATCCAAGGCCAGGGTATTGGACGAGCTGCGATGGATGAGGTCGAATCCATGGCAGTGCGAGAGCCACTTCAGGCCAAGACATTGATGCTGGACACGGTCCAAAAAGACGATCAAAAGCGAGAGGAATTTGCAAATGCGACATATGGTGGTATTCCGAAAGTAAGTGAATTATTAATTTTTGAAATTTTTGACCAAGTAACTCATTATATGTAGACTACCAATGAGGAGTGGTATTCTCGCCGGGGCTATCGTTTGATCAAAACCATGCAGAACTACTACCGTGTTGCGGATAAGAATGGAAAGGTTTGGGACACGAAGACTGTCTTTATGCGGAAAGATATTGCTGTTCTTCATGATGAGTAATGCTCAGGCACACTAGGCACTGGGTCTCATTTTTTTGTATGGATCTAGGGAGTAGAGAAAAGCATGGATTGCCCTGGCAGGAAGTTGCCTACCTATATAGACAGGCCGTACATCAGTCCTATGGCCCGTTATTAGCTTGTTTCGGCGTACATATCAATATTTGAGAGAACCCATAATGATAGATTCCTGAGATTATCGCCTTAAGCTTACGTTTGTAAGCGCTGAATTTATATTGTTTGTCGCATACTTCGGAATACACGCTATGCCTATTTGGGGACTGGCCGACATCGCCGGCACCTTCCCACTTCTTCACTTCTAGCTTTCCAACCAAGTCCCAATGCAGGGCTTCTCGGAGAGCCATGAGGAATGACGATCGGCGTTCTCAGTCGCCGGCGACGCGTCGAAATGGCACGTTGCAGTCGTGCGAGCCCTGCCGCAGATCCAAACAGCGATGTGACCATGACAGACCAGTCTGTCGCAGGTGCGTTGCGAAGCGAATCAGCGATAAATGTTTTTACCACCCAGCTCCCATGACTAGAAGAAGACCATCAGATCAAGCCAACCCGGCAATTGTTTCCGGCCGACTGACAAGCCAGCCAACATCAAAGTACGCACCCCTTGCGACAAATCATAGACTCAATGCTAATGTGGGGAATAGTGCATCCAGCCCGGGGTCGCTGGGTAGTGGTCGTCTTTTCGCGCCGTTAGAGCCGCCTTCGGCTCTTCCTGGCTACTTGGGCTCGACGAGCTTCTCTGCAGTTTTGACTGAACACCGCAATGAGATTCCGTTCGAGCTCGAGGAAAACACTGACTCGTCCGTGGGGTTGGTAGTGGAACCCGATCGGCTACGATCCGGAGTCGATGTACTACGGTTTCTGTACAACTTCAGAGTTTGTCATGCACTGATTGAGAAATTCTATATTCGGACATGGAATACAGTTGTGCCGAAATTGGTCATGGACGAAATTCTCCGCTCAGTGCGCGTCATTTTTGATAATTTCAATGCCACTGATCCGACAGCACAGTTACAAGAGCTGGCGACGCAGATTTTTCAAAACACTGCCCGACCAATGCGGACGCACAAGTCCATGACGGCCGAGGAATATTGTGCGTCTTTCACTGGGCGCAATCTCCGCTGGGAGGCCCTTGGATCGATCTTCACTCTTTGCGGAATGCAAGTGGCTATTACACCGGACAGAGACCCTGAAATTACCCAGGGATCGGATGATCCTCGGGCAAAGGACAAATTACTGGAGCAAGTGACAGTGGTTAGTACGGTCTGTCTTGGTTTCTGTGATCAGGCATCATCGGTAAACGAATTGCTGGCGATATTGCAGTTCAATGATACCATGCTGCGAACACAGCAATATGGCGATTCCAGTACGGTCCTTCCTTTTGTGCAACATTTGTTCTCGACTCATTGAAAATTTTCCAGGTTATCAGGCATGGCGTCGCCTGGGCGATTTAGTATCTACGATTTACGCGGCTGGGCTGCACCTGGAGAACGATGGCGCAGATAACTGTCCATTTTTCCTCCGTCAGTGGCGAAGGCGTTGTTTTACTGCAGCCTTTTACATGGATAAAATGGTAGCGACTTTTGTTGGGCGACCGCCACTGATGAACAGTAAATTCTGCACGCCCACTGCTCCATTGGACCTGAGTGACGCAGATCTGGTTGCAGGTGGTGATGTCCTAAACAAAGCTATCTCAGAGCTGGACAGTGCCGGTTGGAATACGAAAGGAATGCAGTACCTTGTGACCCCAACTCGTCTACGTTATCAATTGGCAATAATAAGGGAGGAAGCTCTTGAGGTTGTGCTGGGCACTCACGAACAGCACAATCTGATCCAGAAGTCCGAGTACGTCATCTCACCAAATTTCGACTTCAGTGTCTATGCTGACCAGACCTCTTCCAAAGGGATATCCAAGCAAAATCTCGCGCCATATGGGGAGCAGCTCCGGATCATCTTCGATATGATCGGAGGTTGGACGATCAATTCCATGATGGATCGCTTACCATTGCCTATTTCTACCTGGATTACCTCTATACTTGCTTTTTGCTTTACCGAGCAGTCAGTAAGCACACCAATACCGGCCAAGCCGACCTCTGTGACATATCTCGTCGGGTTCTAGCAATTGTGATCCGCGTGAACTCCTTTCGAACGCCAATGGTGGATCTAGATCGGCACTTTTCGTGGATTGTATGTGTCTGCCACGAACAAATATGGGCTTTGCTAATATGTATAGGTCTTGACATACGGTGTTCCCTCTGCGAGCGTTCTTCTTCTCGAACTTTTACGCCAGTCGCATGAGCCCGGCCCTCATGCTGTCCTACTCCCACGCGCGGAGTTGATCCGAAATCTAAGCGTGTTTGTGTCCTTTTTGTCCTGGGTCTCATGCCCTGGTCATGGCAATTATACCACCTGCAAAGAAGCCGAGAAAAAGCTGTCTCACATCCTTGACCGACTTCTTGATCCCCAACCTGTGCAGCAGCATGTGGTAGATGATGTCACATCAGGTCTCGACAACTTCCTGAACTGGTCAAATTACAACACGTTGTGGGACTTCAATTCCGAGTACATGTCTCTGGGTGAGGGATTTGCACCTTGACACTTCCAAACCAATAGTACAAACCACACGAGGCTCGGAATTTTGATCGGAATGTCATAATTATGTGAAGTTGAAAATTTCATTCATAAAGGCATGATCCTATCATATTCTCCCTTTAACGACTGGACCCGAGTCATACCATCCATATATAATCGTTGCGGGGAGGTGTGTTCGATGCATAATATGCTCGATGACACAGCGGACAATTGAAGTGGTCACCTAAAAACCACTTCTCCAGACACTCCCGGTGAAAAACATGCAAGCAGCGCAGTTGGCGAATTTCATGCGCGCGATCTACTTGCTCCAAGCAGACAGCACTTAATAAGAGGTTAGTCACTGCGCGAAAGCAAACACAACAGATACGGCGATCAAAAGAAACATACCAAACAAACTGTCCGTCAACAGCCTCCGAAAGCCCGAGATTCCCTTTCGTGGTAGTCCACCACTTCTCAAGCGTGCAAATCGGAGCAACAGCATCCAAACTCCGCAAGCGCTCATCGGGATCTTTCTTCGAGCGTAGAAATGACCGCCGATCCCTGCGGTTGATGACAATCGTCAAACTAGGTGATACAGTTAGTATGCTGTTGCATGTGGTACGGAGGGAATGTGTCAGAAAGCCAAAAAAGAAGAAAGAAATTGCCGAATCGTGCACCGAAACAGGATCACATTCCACTCACATTAAACTCAGCACGATAAGGAGCACCACCCCAAGTCCGATGCCTAGGACGATGGCCATATGGCTTTTTCTGAGATGTTGATCTTCGGCCATACCTTATCTCCCGCGATGTGTCTTTGTCGCACGAATCGCCAGCGTCGCGTAGAATAACCAGCGTAGTGGCGGACAAACCAGGCAAACACAAGAAAGCCCAGCCTCAACGGTGCGCTCAAATCACCAGCAACAGCGACTAGAAACGGGAAATGCGCGCTTTCAACCGACCGCGATACCAGCTCAAGGAGAACGGGGAGGGTTTGGCGCGATACCGCACCAAAAAGGGAAAAAAGGCCAGTTATACGTAGGTTCACATCCAAGCAGTCAAAGCCGAAAATAGCAGACCGAAAGAGGAGGAAGAATCAGAGAGTGCAGGGGATGATGATCTGGGGATGATCGACCCGTCAAAGCGGGGAAGAAGCAGTGGATACTCAGATTCACACGGGATTTGGGCTTCAGCTCATACGAAACTTTATGTCATCCCCTCCCTGCATCGTTGGCCCAATAAGGTGGTTGTGTAGTGGAAGGGATAGGCAGGCCAAGAGTGGCTTTGGTGGTGGAATGTTGATCGGCTGAATTGTCCTTAGGTGACACGGGTGTGCTTTGTTTGCGAACTTAATAGTCAATAGGTACCGTGGTATTGAGGCATATAGGGTTTGTTTTCATTGACTGGAGGCGCTATCGATAAGCTATCACTGGTCAAGTAAGGCAGAGACGCAGCATGTCTAAGTCGTTTTAAACTTGGCCAAGACTATATGCGCCTCATTGCTCCACTCCCCTGCTTTGACATTGCAAGGTTGTATTGCAGTTTAGCTAGAGTGGTACATTCTTCGAAGATTCTAGCATGTAGTATTTCTCTCGAGTATGGTATCTTGGACTCCACTTTATTTCATCTTATAGGGAGGTTAAAAGTTTACTATATGTAGTTGCAGTGGCCGGCGAGTCCGGAAGGCTGCATACCGGCTTGAAAATAATCCCGAACAAACAAAATGCAGGGATTTGGGGCAACTGTCGAGGATGAAAGGGGTTCCCATCGAATGAAAGCAATTCCTGGTGAAAGGAGTTGGCACACTTAAACTACCGACTCGGAGTGTTGATGTTTGAGTGGCGACTATTAAATTATATTTCTGCCAGCTACTGGACATTTTGGATGATGGACAATGCAGAGGGCTATGCAAGTTAACAGAGGCTGTCTGAATTCTCTACATTAGTTGCAGATACACCCATCTCTGCCTTGTCAAACTGTTGTATATCCCGTTTTGTGCCAGGCTCACTGACACCATCCTCATGCAGCGCACTCGACCGTCCACCAAATAGCAAGTCAATCTCCTCGAGTGATTTCTGCTTCGTTTCCTGGAAGAAGAAATAAATGACAGGAAGAGATATGCAGAGGTCTGATGGGTTAGCAAAACATTCATGAAATTAACACTGGGAGGTAACTCACTCCACGCTACAAAAACGAAGTAAAATTTCCATTGGAGTTTCCCCAGAGCAACAGGCGAGATCTGATTCCACAGCGTACTGACAGCCCAGTTACCGATACCGACTGCAAACGCGTTGCCTTTGCCCCGGATCTGCATTGGCATGACTTCAGCCATATAGACCCTAACAGCAAAAGAGACACAATGAGCAAACTTCACAAGATACAACCAAACAGTCAGTACTCACCAGCTACATGGCCCAAAAGACATGGAGAATACCACCGATACCAGAAAAATGAAGAAAACACCACCAATGCTATATCCAACTTTCCGGCCATCAGGATTCTGCGAATTAAGCACCGCTTCACAACTCAAAGCAAGCGAGATGGCCACTGTAGCGAAGAGCATGGGCTTTCGGCGGCCAACACGATCGAGAATGAAAACTACAAAGATGAAATTGGCGAGCGGGCCAACACAATTATAAATGCCTGCGACAAGCGTGCTGCGACTGCCTGTAATACCGAGGGATTTATACATGATGGTTTGGTAGTACCCAATCACATTGATACCGGTCATCTGCGTAAATACCTGGACAGCAACGCCATGTCTGCGGAAGTTGGTAAGTCTCTAGCCTCGGGTGGTGGGGATTGTAACTGGGGGGAATGTACATACAAGAGTCGAGTCCGCCATTGCGGAACAGTAAACATAGCCATCCATCCAGTTGCAGTGACACTTTTCTCTGCCTCGATGGCGGTACAGATCCCGCTATACTCGGCCTCGATCCAGGCATCATTCAAGCCGTCGGAGTGTAATCTGTGGAGAATGCGCCGTGCCTCGGTATACCGCTCCGTTTCTATCAGATATCGCGGTGATTCTGGCAAGAAGAACATGCCAATTCCCAAGATCAGTGCTGGTACAACCTGGAAGGCGAGGGGAAATCGCCACTGGAATTGGCTTGTAGCTGGTGCGTGGAGGGATCCATAGCCGACCCATCTGCGTTTTTCGAATTAGTTTTGCTTTGTGTTTTGGTGTTTTTCAATGGTACGGCAATCATACGTGCTGACAATGAATCCAATACCGATCATCTGTTGTGCTAGTCCTACGATCATTCCCCGAGAGCGTGGGTGTGCACACTCAGCCTGGTAAACGGGGACGGCCATGGACATGAGACCGACAGCCCAGCCAGCTAGGATTCGACCGATGAGGATCATGGAGAGATTCTGCGCGGCTGCTTGTAGTGATGCGCCGATTATACATAGGAAAGCACCTAGCTGGATGGTGAACTTGCGGCCGAAACGGTCCATGGTCAGTCCGCCTTGTAGAGAGCCGATCACCGCTATTGAAGAAGAGTTAGCCAGCTCTTTGGCTGCCTCCTCAGCATCACACTTTGAACTGAAAGATATGCTGTAAGAAAGCAAGGTACTCAAGATCTCTGGCGAACACACCTCCACCCGAAAAGGTACTGTTGATCGCCCCAACAATGGAAGACGTTTGCGTAGTATTGAAGTACTCTAGGAAATTGGGCGAGTCGATCACATCTGTCATGACGCCAGAGTCATAACCGAAGAGAAACGACCCCGTTGCCGCCAAGACGGCCACCGATATGGTGTAAAGCCGACCCATTGCGAGGTAGAGGAAATTGTAGAGTATTAGGGATTTTAGCCCGTAATTGGAGCCCCGCTACATGTTTGCAGGGTGGCCTAATACTGGAAATGTGTATAGAGTGAATTGAAGAAAGTGTGGAATATAGGTAAGAAAGACAATTGATCCGGGGCATAGAACCCGATTTCCCCAAAAAGTTGCCCCGGTGTGGCCCCCCGCACGAGACCAGCCTTTGCTGTCTGCGAGGCAATTGTAACTGCAGGACGCCTTTCAACCGGGTCTAGCCCAGAGAACACATTCCCCCCTGAGTTGGCAGATGGGACATTCCTGGCAAACAAGGAAATAGAACAACACCGCGCATTTTTTGATGAAATCAGGAATCATCCGAGATCTCCACGTGCAGTCCGCGTGGGGTCACGTGAGTGCGCGTCACCCGCGTCCACAGCTCAATGTAAGGACCTCGACGTCTGAACAACATGCATATTCTCTGCCTCCTGTGGTCCCGTGAGCATTGCAAATTGCAGGGATGGCTGTACTGGACGCGCCAAGGTACCCTGTAGAACATCCTGTAAATGTAACTTGAACCTACAATACAGTAAGTGGGGATCTCCAACGCGTCAACAGACAGCAGTGGACAGCAGTGGACAGCATCTTTGGCACTGGATAGACAGAATGAACCGAGTAAATCAAGACAAACAAGTCTAGTATCATCCAACACAGAACAGCTGGGAAGTAGCAGGTACCTCGGAGGCGCACTTACTTACTAGCGCGGGCCACGTTCTTTCTACTCCGCGTCCACACCGCGACGCGATTTGACGTTTTCTGCATACTTCTGCACCAGCCTCATTGAGCTCCCTTCACTTCTTGACTTGCAGTTTTTTCTACTTTGCTCTCCTTACTTTCTTTTTCCTCCAATCCCCATGCTCTCTTAGCCTGCATCATGTCTGATCCGGAGCCATCGGTGGCGATCTCATCCTCGCCTTCTCTCCCGGCCACCGACTCCAATCCTCTTAATTACGCCTTTCTCGTTCACTCCCAGAAGACCCTTACCCAAAATCTGCCTCCTCGTGTCGACAACAAGTTACTAGCCCGCCAAAAGCGGCGCCGAACTAGGTATGCTATTTGCATGGCACGTGGCCGAGGGTATAGTACGCGTCGACTAACTCGAACGTGTGGTACAGCCCGGAGGACCACGCAATTCTCGAATCCGAATACCAGCAGAACCCCAAGCCCGACAAGATCGCCCGCACAAACATTGTGAACCGCGTCTCGCTCGGCGAGAAAGAGGTCCAAGTATGTGATGCCAAGAACTAACACATCAAACCCACATCTAACCGTCTGCACAGATTTGGTTCCAGAACCGCCGCCAGAACGACCGTCGGAAATCCAAACCTCTTCAGCCTCACGAACTACTCGCGCCGCGGTCGGGCATGGTTGATTCATCCGGTCAACCTTCAAGTGACGATAACGCGTCAGCGGAGCCGGGGTCTTCAAGTGGGGCAGAACAATCCGACGTTCACGACCGTCGCGAAGAAATGGCTAAACCATGGCACGGTGGGCTGTTGAACTTCTCTGATGAGTCGGAGCCGATGGAAGAAAAAGATGAACATGAGCTGCCTCAGAGTACACAAACAAGCGTGGCCACGGAGGCTGTAGCGGATACTCCGCCGACCACGCAGGAAGAGTTTTCCCAAAGTGTGAATGACCCCTCGGAGGATTCTCTTTTGCCCGTCCCCAAAAGAAAGCGTTCTGTGTCGGATATCAGGGGCGAGGGAGCACATGGGCAGGATGCAGCAAACACAGAAATCACACACACCACACCGACCAAATCCCCGCCATCGTTGCGATTGTCAATGTCATTTGATGGAGAGGCCATGGTACGCAAAGAGGGCGAGCTAACGCCCTCGCCACCAAAAGGTCGCAACGCGTTGCGCATCGCCATGTCATCAGACGGCAAGGCAGTAATTCGTGGGGAGAATGAGCCGTCGCCATCTAAAAACCGCGTGGCGATGTTCTCAGTACGTCGGACAAAGATGTCTGGCCTCCGACGCAGTAGCAGTGCCATCTTCCCAGCCACGCCGCGGGCAGGCTTGGCCGAGAAGGATCGGACATTCGGTCGGTCTCGCGATTCGCGTAACTGGGAATCATTCTGTGACACAGATGCCCGAAGTGCTCTATCCACACCGACTTCTGGCCCGAACGCTTCCCCGGGCCTGTTCCAGTCTCGCAGCCAGCGCTCATTAACACGGAGCGCTTCTGGGCGACACCTCGCTACCCAAGCCGACATAAACAGCACACCTATCTCTCAGTCCATGGGAGAGAAGAGGCGGAAGTTAGCTCGCACCGTTTCTTCTTTGGGGCGATTAGAAACCGGACGCAACAAGGCCAACGGCGCATCGAAGCTGTCCAAGCCTATATTTTCCAAGTCTGGAAAGCAAGATCTGGAACTAGACCCCGGCGACTCTGATAAGGAGAATTGGGTTCCAGGCACACGAGCGGCAAACATTCGTCGTCGCAACACCTCACATATGCCACGATCCGTTCTTCGCGATACCAACCGGAACCGCGGTCTCGGCATCAGCACCAACGGCAAGCGCAATCGACCATTCCAACCTGGTCAGGGCAAAGCCCCGCCAGAGGTCAGTGCAGAAGTGTCAGCGTTCATGTCCAGCGGCAACGGCGGGAGTCAAGAAGACGACCTGGACTGTGTCCAGGGTCTCTTATCATTGAGTCAAGGGGCCTGGCGATAGGGATGCAGGAGCATGCATGACTGGCATTCAAGGCGCCTCTGGTTGATTGCCATCATCGTCTCAAGTTTCATTTTTATTTCCTTTGTCATTCTCATTTCCATATGTTCGGAGGCTTGATGTATTTTCTTATTTTCTCTGTCTTCATGATTTGAGACGTCGTACTAGCGGTCACGTGAACCTTGTCCATGATCTACTTTTCTGTTCGGGCTTGTGCTCTTTTTTTCTGCATTTACTGTGCGATGGAGTCTTGCAATGAGGTTCATTGTTCCTTCTGTTAATGGTGACTTGTGTCGGTGGGCTTGTTTGGTCTTGCTGGCTTGCTGTTGATGAGAGGAGATTCTGGTTAGAAGCTCCCCCGAGACGGATATTAATCCTGGAATGATTCCAAGTAACGACCTGAATACCACTGGTTCAAGTATGATTATCAAACTTATTACCATTACAATTGTTATACCCTTGATTGTGCATTTGATAACTCGTAGTTTTGCATAGAAGGTAGTTAACCACACGATATCCCATCCTATACTTTCTAACCCGCCCCTATATCTTATAACAAGTCTCCTAGATGCATATTCTATATATGACTCCTCAATATGCGATCTTATCCAACAACCTACAACCCAGCAGAAGGCAAAGAATCATCAACACCACCCCCAACCCCAACACTCCCCAATCCCCACCGCTCACAAACACCCCTAGCAACCCTCTCCCCACTCCAATAAGCCCCAGTAGTAGTTCCAAGCGCAACGAAAGGCGCCGTGTGCTCCCCAGCAAACCACAATCCCCTCCTCGCCTCACTCCCGCCCCCATCTCTCAAAACCTCAATATCGCGATCTGCCTGCTCAACCCCAACCTGAAAATTACAATACGACCCATGACCCGCAAACTCATCCTTCTGCCACTGCGTCGCGAGGATAGCGGACGGTGTACAATCCACAGAAGTGGCATCGTAGCCCGGTAGCCGGGCGTAGAATGGTTCCAGCGTTTTAACAAGTGTGGCCTTGTATTCTGCGGATAGTGGGGCGAGGTGCGAGATCGAGTTTATGATTTCTTCGCCGCTTTTACCGTAGGTGTAGAATAGGAGGGTTGGGTGTGCAGTTGGTGGTGGGAGGGAGGCCATTGAGAGGCATTCTTGGTTCCATTCTGTTGTCGGGGGACGGGGCGCATAGCTTGGTTCGAGGAACTGGGCGAAGACTGTACTTTTCTTGGTGTTGGTGGTTGTGCTGGTTGAGTCTGTGTGCCACCATGCTTGAGGGAATGTTACGTAGACTTTTTCCAGTCTTCCGTACGAGATGTTGTTGATTGCTGCTAGGAGGCGAGTCGGGAGTGGTGGGTTGAATGCGGTGGTGTTTTGTTTTAGCCAGCCTAGTGGACATGTCACGACTACCTCGTCGAAGTTGTAGATTTTGCCTGTGGTGGTGGCCACGGTTACTTGGTGCGGTGTTGAAGATTGATTATCGCGTTCAGGTGCGTTGATGTTAACGACTGGCTCGTTGAGATGGATATCTGCATTTGCGGTTGCGTTCTTTGAGACATGCTCTAGAATCCCCTTATATGTCGACGCCACGACAAAGTTGCCTTTGGATATGATGTCAGCCTTCATGCTCGAATCCAACACTGCATATCAAAGGAACTTCTACTTACTCCCATCAACGCATTCCTCTAAACGGAAGAACTTCAAACTTTGCTTTTCAATCGGTTCACCGACATACGCACCCCAGAGCTTCGATGCATCAAGAGCAAGTGCCTTTTCTGTATCCGAGAGATCAGATTGCCCAACTCGCTCGCCGAAAAAGTCAAATAGACTCTTCTCAGCGGGGATACTGTCCCCATGTCTATTACTATACTCGAATGCCTCAGAGATAGTAGTCCAAACAAAGTCCTCGATCTTGCTGGTAACAGCATCATCAATCAACTCTCCCTCCCGGGAGAACTTAACATTTCCACCAGCAGGATCATGCACAATCGCCCCCGTCGCTCTCGCGATATCCATAATGGGGTTCTCCCCGGAGCCATGAATCCAATTTGGTCCCCTGGTAAAGGTGCAAGTCAGCTGAACAGCTACCAGGTACATGCAGATGTATGCCTTGGCATAGCACGATGAGAAGTGCAGGGGTACGGAGTACATGTACATACAGATCAACCACATGGGATCCAACCGTTGATTGGTGCACCTAGCCGACAAAAAGCAAGACTGCGTTAGTTCATGTAGTTCTCGGGTTCACTATAGGTGATAGATACTATACGTACTCTTCCACCAATGCGGTCTCTTGCTTCTAGGATTGTTACTCGGGCTCCGTTTTGGAGGAGAATGTCGGCGCAGCGGAGGCCTGAGAGGCCCGCGCCGATGACGCCGATGTGTGGAGGTTGTGTCATGGGATGGAGAAGTTTGAGTGACGTTCGATAGAAATTTCGATATCGACTTGGGAACAACATGAGCAACTCTTTTAACTTTGAAGTTGAAGATTTGCGCTGTCAGGTGGGATTTGATTGGCCCGTTATCAGACTTTATCTGGCCCACATCTACTACATGCATATTCCACACACTACAGGTCATTTTGAAGAAAGCTCAATTGGATTGAGAGGATAGATATAGTGAAGGAAAGTTGAATTATGGCCAGCATAATAGATAGAAACAATAACATGCACACTTGGTCAGATCCGCCGCAGCGGGAAACGGCATAAATCGTCGTAGAACTCCTGGACGAAAGCGCCTTTTGAAAAAAAAAAAAAACAAGGACCGAAAGGGTATGTACAGGTCGGGGGTAAAGGAAGGGTATCAAGGAAGTTCAAAGATGGAGTGAAGCGCCATAGAACAGAAAGGCAGGATCGAGCAGCGAAGATCAAATCCAAAGACAATAATGCGCGCATGAAATTGAAGGGAATCGTTGGAGGCGCGGATATGTGTGAATCGAGATGGGATTGTAGAATACCCGCTTAATCCTCCCAAATGGTCTCTAGGTCGAGATCCTGCCGTCGTTCGGCACCGCAGACACTCCATCGCTTCCGCTTATCGTTGCGGGGTGCGTATGTGCCAGTTCCCCCTCGCATCGTGGTGAAGGAGCCAGGCACATCAGATGCTCCGCGGCGTCGGTTCGCATTGCTGGCCGCATCGGCTGCGTCTGCCGCGGCTTTCAACTCGGCAATGCGATCTTCTTCCAGAGCCTCATTCTCGGCATCTGGGATGTCGGGGATTGTTTCCAAGGACGAGATGCTGGGGCTTCGAGACCGCAAGCTGGTCGGGGTCGAGGGGATGGAGACCGAGGAGACAGAAGAAGCAGAATTCACCGGGTATGATTCGTTGTACTTGGAGCCAAGCACGGGGGAGGAATGCAAGGAAGGGGAGCCGCCGGAGGGCTGAAGGTGAAGGGGAGAGGTTGACCGCAGGCGACCGATGCGGGGGAACGTCTGCGCCATGAGGACAGGAGAGCCGGACTGTGAGGATGGTGATCGGGGGGCTGTTTCAAGCTCTGCATTCTCTGAGATGGTCTCTGAGATGTTCAGGGAACCCATGCGAGTTTCGATGTGGTCTTCAGAGCGCATGTGAGGCAAGTTCCTTTTTGAATCGACCGGTGCCCCGCGACCGTTGATAAAGAAATACCGACCCCGGGAGTCCAGCCCTGGGGAGGAGTAGGCGCGCGTCATAGACGGCATACCCGGGATCCCCGCCAGTGACCGAGAGCGGAGGTGCGATCGGGCCAAAGGGGATCGGGTCCGAGGCGCTGCCGGTGGTTCGGGGGAAAGCGATAAAGTGACCATGACGTCCTCCTTTTCTGAACCGGAGTCGGGTTCGCGCAGGCGCATTCGCTCCATGTCAAAGAGTTAAGGGGTAGAGAGATTTACCCTCGCATTATGACATGAGAAAACAGAGCAAATGGCAGAACCTGCCTGCCAAAGTGAAGTGAAAAGGGGGTAGTAGAATGGTGAGTTCAAAGATGTGGAAGGGGGGAGAAAAAAGGTTGAGGCCGGAGCCAATCCCGCCCGGATCCCCCGATGATCTTTTCAGCCTCTTCTCTTCTCACGGCAGATTCTTCACTTGTTTCGTCTTCGATCCCGTTTTGCCTTTTAATTTTACCTTTGTAGATATTGCCTCAGTTTGTTCATATCCCGATGTTCTTGTTTTTTGGTTCTCCTATCATTTACCTTCCTAATATCAAATCCCGGCCTATAGTTCGGGACTATTCTTAGCATCTGTTGACGTCCTCTGATGCCCGGAACTATTTCGGCCCAATGAATCGTGGCATCATTCATAAACAGACCCGAGATTCGTATACCTGTGGATCGCGAATGGTGTTTACTTTGCAAGGGACATTTTAACCAAAACTTGACCTAAGCTTTCACCGGTGACTTCAATTATACCCAAAGTTTCCGAGTCCCATTGAATAACGTTAAGTACAGAGTCTACATGTACAGTACATGCACATGAACATCTCTATGTTCACTTCTTCATACCCACATTAGCCGTTGAGCCTTAAATGGCCAGACTCCTAAGAACATGTTCTAGACTCTATCCACTCTGTATCCACGGATTCCCTCTTTATTGTCTCGGTTGTCTGTTTACGTTGCATTCAGTTTTAGAAGGTGAGTAAGAGAGGTAGATCGTATCTACTAGTACGGGCACGCCGAAGTGCGTATTCCATGCTCCATGCTCCGTTGTTTGATTCGACCTCCAAACATTCGGTCAGTCTTTGCTACGTCTACCCTCACAACTATAGACAATGATTCGCCGAGCACACTGTACGCCAAGAGACCAAGACATTGACGGTAAACGGGTTTCGATCTAGACTGCAGGATTCTAGACAGCTCTAGAGGACTCCAGGCTCGAGTATATGAGTGTAACTCAGATGTAGGTACATAGCATTTGATACAAACTCTTCTCGAATAAAATTACCTATTAGACAGTATAGAAAAAGTGCCAAAGTGACGGCGTGTAGAGAAAGACGAAAAAACAAAAGAGAAAACAGGGATATCTTAGGACACAGGGTGGGTTTTCTGAGGCTTCTCTTCCTCACCCTCCTTACACTTAGTGACGTCCTTGCGGACATATGTTTCGCGCACTGGATCACCCTCATTCTTGTAAACCACCCACTCACCCATACCATGTTCCTCCGGCGCAACACGTATACCGCGACCACCGCCACCAACAATCACATTACCAGGACGGTACCCCTTGTTGGCCTGCATACGGCGAATAGCAGAAACGTGAATTTCAGCATTTTTCGGCACATCGCGGACCTCGCCACGAGGCAGGGGCCAGCTAATCGGCTTCCACGACCCATCGGGCTGCAAATCCATACGCCGGAACGGCAACCACTCCATGATGCGCCACGAAATAACCGACATAGCAGGAATGCCTTGGTTAAACATGAGACAGTCATGCATCAGACCCTTCGTGCTGGACGTATGCAGCGCATGCCAGAAATCACGGCTAGCAGCCGAGCGCTCCTTCTCATCAGGTGCAGAACGGAACATATCAGCGTCATCGCCGTGGCCCTCGACACAACGACTCGGCCGGCGCGCATTTATCTCCTCCCTGATAGGAGTGTAGTCACCCTGGAACTCCTCCAGGCACTGGAACTGCTTCATCTTGCGCTCGTCTAGTTCGAGGCCGGCCTTTTGTGCTTCCTGGGTCATCCACACAAGGGGCGCGTGGCTGAGTGCCCACATCTCACCATCGTGCAGTTTCCAGCCTCCGCCAATGTCTGCGTGGCAGCCTGGGAACCAGATCTCGTGGATGTCCTGGTCATCTTCGTCATCGTCCGATTCTTCTCCCGGGATGTGTACGGAGAGCACATTTGAGTGTCCGCTATGGCAGGATTCCTTGCTTTGTACCGAGTGCAGGTCTTCCATTGAGGCCTTTGGCACGGCGAGGTTGCGTCGGGGTGAGGGTGCGCGGTATGCATGTTGCTGCATGGTGCCGGTTTCGCTTCCTGCGCGAGAGGTTTGTTGAGAGTTATGGTGCGAGTGCTGCGCGCTGTGATAGTATGACTCGCCCTGGTGAGGTCCCCAGCCAGGAACTTCACGTTCAGGTTCGGCCTTGTTGTTCTGCTTCTCTTCTTCGGAGTTATCGTTGAAACGAATGGATGGGACAGCATCCGGGCGTTCGTCAGTCTTCTCATCTTTCTGCTGTTTGTGGTCCTGGTGGAAAAGATGCAGATGACGCTGGGCATCACGGTGGCGCTCCATGTGACTCTCAAGCGGGTTCTTGGGCAGATGGTGGCGATGACGGTGGTGCTTCTGTCCCCGAGGGCGAGGGCCAGAGATCAGATCCTGACGGAATTTGGCACGGCGTTCGTCAATTCCCACAGCATGGCGGATTACCCTGGCTGAACTGCGTGCTGTATAGGGGAATTTAGTGCGTTGCATCCACGCGGACTCGAAGCGCGGCACACTGTTCACGGTATCGAACAGACCCATGAAACGGATGCGCGAGATGGGACGACTGAAGGTTTCACGGAAGGCCTTCATATACGTGAAGAGTTTCTTCTTCTCTTCGCGATCCTCTTCCGTGTCGTCGGATCGCTGCTGCCATTTCGCAAATGTCTTCCACGCGAAACGAACCAGTTCTTCATTTCCGGCTTCCAGCAAACCGATATAATCGAGCATCTCGGCCAAGAATCGCGCGATATATGAGCCACGACTGAAGCCAATGAAGAAGATCTCGTCGCCTGGAGAATAGTATCGCATCAAGAACTTGTACCCACCCATGACATGTTCGTCAAAGGAGGACCCGACCGCCGAGTCCTTGGCCTTTTGATACGCAGACTTGATACGCTGGATGCGGCCATGACTGGAGAGCGACTTAGATGTCACATATGTGCCAATACCAGGCTGGTAGTAATGGTACTGGTGGCTTTTGCTGCGGTCGAGCATCTGCGACTTGTCAACACCGTTTCAAGACTCTTGGCCCTGCGTCCCACTTACGCGAAAAATTTTGAGCACATTGCTGTCGGACTCATCACCGGCAAACTTGTTTCCGGTGCCATCGAAACAGAGCACGAACTGCTTCGGGGTGCCTGACGGCCCTTGATGTCCGTAACCGTGCGCCATAATGCTGACGGAAAAAAAGATTCAGTCGGTCAGAGTTGTTCCAACTTCAGGCAGTAATAATCAGCCCCTCAAGGATACTAATATAACAGACGGGAAGAGGGAGAAAAATCAAGCCAGTGAAGCCCACTCCGCAGATGCAGCTGGATACAGTGAATTACACGAATCAGAGTCTACGTCGGCCCCAGCAGGGAGGGGGATATAAGAGTGTCTAAACCACTAGTCGATCGCTGCAGCTTTGGAAAACAATACGTCAAGCTGGCGTGGGCTGACGGGCGGGCCCCGGCGTGGCACATTCTAATCACAAATCTTTCCTTACACAGTCGTATTGTTTCTGGTATTTGCTCCGGGGATGGACAGTCCTACATATCTAGCGTCCCCAAATCCAGGAGGCGACTTTGTTTGTTACACAGAACGGGGCTCAAAATTATCAGTAGGAGTGCATACCATCCAATGAAGATGCAACGGATATCATTGCTTGATCTGCGATAGTTGCAAACCAGACTGAACCTGACTCGAGACACTCTGCACGAGGAATGCCCGGCCCGGACCTGCGCAGTAGTGTATGAAGGGTGGATTCCTATGATACCATACATGTACATGTAAGAAAGACATGTGCGAGGAGTACCGGGCTGAAAAGACAAAAAGCAAAAAGGGAGACGTGCAGATTTTACTCGGTACAAACCTTTGTTGCTACGCGACTATTGGACCCATCTGCTCATCAGGGTTTGGCCTATGAGCACAGCGGAGATAGGAGCCGATCTCTCTTGGTGTTCGGGATATTACTGTCGATCATTCTCCAATCTCTGAGAGCGTGTTGGCCACCAATAAATTGAGTAGCGTCGTAAGGGGGGCAAGTGTTCCTCCGCCTGGATGGCTCGGCCGTCAGCGATCGGGTCTAACCCTTTCTACAGTTGCAACCCTGCTAGCGGCCCTCGCTCGTGAAGGGTGTCTCGCCTGGACCGCGACCCACCTACTTTTTGAGAATTAGTTTGTGTCAAGGAGGGACACGGACCGGGTCCCAGACTCTGTTGTCTGAGGTCATTGAGATCAAGATCTTGAGTGCACATGCAGAAACTGGGATTCAGGAGGTTCTCAAGAATGCGCGCTAAATCCCATCTGAAAAAGGTTGGACCCGGATGGCTGGAAATTGTGGGCCGGGATCCAGCGCTCAGTAACCTAGGGTATACTAATGTATCAAGTCCAGTAGAAGATCGAATGCCGAAAAAAGGGGAATGTATCGAGAAGAGATCTCAGATACTGACGATAAGTTATGCTTAGATATAGGACCTCGGGAGTGGCCGTGTCCCCCGGACAGACAAATGCCCGACCCGTGGTTCATTTGTTTGGTTGTGTTTGTCTGGAGTCAACTTCCACAACATCTCGTCTTTCTCTTGACGTTGACAGGTTTATGAATTACCTTCTTTGTTTTTCAAGGGGCACACTTCCTGGAATTTCTAGTAAAGCGCCACGAGGAAAGGGAGACCCTAAAGGTGGGATTCAGCTATACGATACATCACAATCTGAATAATTCCTGACAATGACTGGCAGACTCAGCTGCCAATGACAGACAACACAATGTGGTTCGTGGTGTAAGCGGCCCGTTCGCCACTCGACGGACTAAAAATCCATAGTCAGTGGGCGAACGGGTGGGCCGTGACGATCTTACAAGACAAAAACATTGTTACGGCTGTGTATTTTTTTTATTTCCGATCACATCTTGTTCTCTGTCACATCCTCGATTTTCCTTGCGTCTGTATGGTCTATGCTCAAGGCCTACACACCAGAGGCGAATTGATGTCGGTGAAAAGTTCAAAGGGTATGACAGCACCCTCCAACTCAGAACCGGGTCAGCCAGCCACCGTATTTTGCGACTGCCAAATCCGATCGGGAGATACAGAGCGAGCGAAGACCGGCAAACTCTCCCCACTTAGTGTCGATTTAGCTCGATCTTGACATCCCCAGTGTGGAGCTTCGACTTCCATGCGGGAAATCTCTTCTCTGTACACCGCTGCTTATGCATTACAGAGGTCACATTAATTGGTCTGTAGGGATATTTCTCCCTTAGACAGATTGTGACGCATGCGCTGATCTTGTCTCTCATCTTTCTCAGCTTACCTAGCTCAGCTTGGATACCCTGCATGTACTATGGACATATGATATTATGACGATGCTCAGATGAAAATTGTACTACAGTACAAAAGTGTATAGACAGCCCGTGCCCAATCGCCTGCCCCGCCCCCTTTCTCAGGAACATAGCTGTCCACTGGCCGTCATGCATGATGATCAATTACTGCGTTCAGGCCTTTCATCATCGTGTCCCCACTGCCCTGCCCCCACTGTACCTCTTTTGGATGCATTGAGCTTGTACATGCGGGGCCTGGTAACCGTACTCCCTGAGTCAGGTTCAGGTCTGGAAAGATCGGTCTCTCCGTCAATCAGTTCCAGTTCCTGCAGTCAATCAACTATTGGCGATAACAAACCCGCCACCTTTACTTGCTCCACAGTCTTGCAGCTGACTTGCGTTGCCCGCGCTCATTTTTAAATGCTTCGAGCTCCGTCGCGCGACGGATACTCCTTCTTCTTCCCCTAATCTGGCCCTTGGTAGCCATCTCTGACTCTTTTTATACCCAATTTTCTTTTTTTTTTGTTTCTGTGATACCATTCTGTTTCCTGCCAGAGTCTCTATTCACAATGTTGAGGAGAATCTCTACCCAGTTCAAGCGGTCGTCCAAGGACAATGGCGACAGCGAGCCTAAGAGCGCAGAGAAGCCCAGCAAGCGCTTCTCCAAGGTCTCCCCCGCACGCAAAGCCACCTCCAACCAGGAGGAAAGCCACGTCGTGAAGCGCGCCGAGGTTGTCGCAACCTTCGAGAAGTTTGCGCAGGCCATTCACGCCTCAAATGAGCCCCTGCCCAACCAGACCGGTGACGGCACCTTCCTGAAGCACGACCAGTCTTCCGGTCTGATCAATGATATCAAGTCGCTCGGATTCCGCGATGTCAACACTGTCAAGGATCTCGTCAAGAGCAAGGCCTCCGGCGAGCTTGTCGATGACAAGACCTACCTGATGGAGCGCATCATCCAGATGGTTGCCGATCTGCCCGGTAACTCCAAGAACCGTACCGAGCTTACCAATGTCTTCCTGGATGAGCTATGGAACTCAATTCCTCACCCTCCTCTTTCGTAAGGATCCACCAATTGGAGGCCGCCTTGCAATTGCGCGCTAACGCTGGGAATAGTTACATGGGCGACGACTTCAAGTACCGCTCTGCTGATGGCAGCAACAACAACCCTACTCTCCCCTGGCTTGGAGCTGCTAACACCGCATACTGCCGCACTATTCCTCCCCTCACCATCCAGCCTTCTGGACTTCCTGACGCCGGTCTGATTTTCGATACCCTCTTCGCCCGTCAGGAGTTTACTCCTCACCCCAACAAGGTCTCCAGTGTCTTCTTCGACTGGGCCTCTCTGATTATCCACGGTAAGTCTGCTTCGCTGACAATTGACATTCACACGCTAATGCGCTAGCTTCCTAGATATTTTCCAGACCGATTACCGTCAACAGCACCTGAACAAGACCTCCGCCTACCTGGACCTCTCCATTCTCTACGGTGATGTCAAGGAGCAGCAGGATCTCATCCGTTCCCACAAGGACGGAAAGCTGAAGCCCGACTGCTTCTCCGAGGGTCGTCTTCAGGCCCTTCCTGCTGCTTGCGGTGTTCTCCTGGTCATGCTGAACCGTTTCCACAACCACATTGTTGAACAGCTCGCCGAGATCAACGAGAACAACCGCTTCAGCAAGCCCCGCCCTGGCATGTCTGAGGAGGAGACCAAAGCCGCCTGGGTCAAGCGTGATGAGGACCTGTTCCAGACTGGTCGTCTCATCACTTGTGGTCTGTACATCAACATCACCCTGTACGACTACCTACGCACCATTGTCAACCTAAATCGCACCAACTCCACCTGGTGCCTGGACCCCCGTGCTCAGATGGAGAAGGCCGGTGCCACTCCCTCTGGTCTCGGTAACCAGTGCTCTGTCGAGTTCAACCTGGCCTACCGCTGGCACTCGACCATCAGTCAGGGTGATGAGAAGTGGATCGAGCATATCTACTATGACCTCATGGGCAAGCCCGCTGAGGAGGTCACCATGCATGAGTTGCTTCAGGGTATGAAGAAGGTTGAGGGTAGGCTCGATGCTGATCCCTCCAAGCGTGAGTTCGCCGGCCTTAAGCGTGGCGAGGGTGGCTTCTTCAAGGACGAGGAGCTTGTCAACATTCTGACTCATGCTACCGAGGATGTTGCCAGCTCTTTCGGTCCCCGCAACGTGCCCAAGGCCCTGCGCTCCATTGAGATTCTCGGTATCGAGGCTTCCCGTAGATGGAACGTCGGCTCCCTCAACGAGTTCCGTAAGCACTTCGGCCTGAAGACTTACGACACATTTGAGGAGGTCAACTCCAACCCCGAGATTGCCGATACTCTGCGTCACCTGTACGAGCACCCCGACTACATTGAATTGTACCCCGGAATCGTTTCCGAGGAAGCCAAGGAGCCCATGATCCCTGGTGTTGGTATCGCCCCTACCTACACCATCTCCCGTGCCGTGCTCTCTGATGCCGTCGCCCTCGTCCGTGGTGACCGTCACTACACCATTGACTACAACCCCCGTAACTTGACCAACTGGGGCTACAACGAGTGCCGCTATGACCTGAACATCAACCAGGGCTGTGTCTTCTACAAGCTCGCTACCCGCGCGTTCCCCAACTACTACAAGCCCGACTCCATCTACGCCCACTACCCCATGACCATCCCCAGCGAGAACCGCAACATCATGAAGAACCTCGGCCGTGAGCAGGACTACTCCTGGGACAAACCCGCCTTCATTGAGCCCCGCATCAACCTGGTTTCTCACCAGAGCGCCAAGCTGCTCCTCGAAAACCAGAAGGATTTCCAGCCCAGCTGGGGCCGCTCTATGAGCGAGCTCTTCGGCAAGGGTGAGTTCGGCACCGAGCAGCGTGAGGCCATTGGCAAGGCTCTTAATACCGAGGAGTTCCCCAAGCTCGTCAAGAAGTTCTACGAGGATATCACCGAGCGTCTGATCGCCGAGAAGGGTGGCCAACTGGGAAAGATCAACCAGATCGATATCACCCGTGATGTCGGTAACCTGGCCCACGTCCACTTCGCCTCGACCATCTTCGGTCTCCCTCTGAAGACCGAGGAGAACCCCCGCGGTCTCTTCACCGAGCACGAGATGTACATGATCCTATCGACTATCTTCTCTGCGCTCTTCTTCGACGTCGATGCTCCGCGCTCGTACTCGCTGAACCGCGCCGCCTCCGCCGTCTCCAGCCAGCTTGGCGCCGTCGTCGAAGCCACCGTCAAAGCCGACACCAACAGCGGCCTCTTCTCCGGCATCTTGGACAACTTCCGTCCCCACGACAACGCCCTTCGTGAGTTCGGCACCGACGCCATCCGCCGCATGAAGGAAGCCGGCTCCAGCGCCTCGGACATCACCTGGTCCGCCATCATCCCCACCATCGTCGGCATGGTCCCCAACCAGGGCCAGGTCTTCACCCAGATTATCGAGTACTACACTGCACCCGAGAACAAAGCCCACCTGGCCGAGATCAACCGTCTGGCCAAGGACGACTCCGCCGACTCCGACGAGACACTGTACCGCTACTGCCTGGAAGCCATCCGTCTGAACGGCACCTTCGGCGCCTTCCGCGAGGCCAAGGTCCCGGTCACCGTCGAGGAGAACGGCAAGACCTACAGCATCCAGGTCGGCCAGCAGGTCTTCGCCTCCTTTGGCGAGGCCAACCACGACGCCGGCGTCTTCCCCGAGCCCAACGAGGTCCGTCTCGACCGCCCCATCGACTCGTACATCAACCACGGCCAAGGCCCTACCACCGGCTTCGGCGAGCAGATCACCAAGATTGCTCTCGTCGCTATGCTGCGCGTTGTTGGTCGTCTGCAGAACCTTCGCCGCGCTGCTGGTGCCCAGGGCCAGCTCAAGAAGATCCCCCAGGAGGGTGGTTACTACAACTACCTCCGTGGCGATGGTACTGCCTACTGCCCGTTCCCCATGTCGCTTAAGCTTCACTGGGATGGCCCCTTCGAGAAGAAGAAGCCTGCCTCTTCGTAAGCAAGTCCTTCTGGTTTGAGGCTCGACGAGGTGTAGTCGGGCTTGTCTGACTGTGTCCACCTAAAAACGCCGTGATTGGCGATGTGCAATATATGTGGAGGTAATATCGCTTGGGGTTGGCTATGAATTCATGTTGCCTTGACTTTTTTGCTGTTTTCGGGGACTTGTTCTTGTTTAGTCGCCAGGATATCCAGAAATTGTTGATTTTGTTATTATATTATAGTGTATAGCTCACGAATCTTTCACTGTTATGAATTTCTCTGATAATACAGTACACCCCTGATAGAAGACGGTGATTGCAGCTCCGAACTTCCGCCTTGCCTAGCTCTGACAACTCGGCGATCTCCAAACCCCGGAACTATGAGCTACCGACAACACACGACCTGCCAGGTACTCCTCTTGTCAGATTATTTTTAGAGATCTGACCAGTAGTGGATCAGTTACCCGTCAAAATCCGTGAAAAGGGTTTCAAGTACATTAAAAGGATTGCATGTCAAAAACCCTGCAAAACCCGAAAGCCGCAGAGCCCGACTCCGCGTCGACGTCATATAATCCCCAACTGCCCATGGCACATGACCAAACCCTACCTACATCATCCCCTTGCAACACTCATCCGTAAACCACCTCCGAAACATCAAGACAAACCATCAATAACATGACAACAGACGTTCGAATTGCCCAGGCAATTGGGACCATCGGTTGCGCCGTCGCTGCAGGTACATAACCCTCCAGAGGATACCATACCCATACCCCATCATCTGCAATCAGCCATCTATCTATATCTATACTATACGCATCCATCAACTTACACAAACGAACTCCAGGCGGCATAGCAACCCTCTCAATAATAAGCATCCCAAACCTAGCCCTCCCACCCCGCCACCCAACCAACAAAACCCTAACCCAAGACACAACACCCGGAACACCAGCCGCACACCTAACACACCAATGGCTAGACATCTACGACCGAGGCAAGAAGATCTTCCCCGGGCTGGCAGGCACAGCCTCCCTAGCAAACCTCTACGCCATGTGGGCGCTACGGGACAGTCCCGCACCAGCGCCCATCATCGGATCGAGCTGGTCAACTGTTTATTTGGTTGCCGTTGTTGTTACTATGGGGATTGCGCCTTTCACGTTTATTGTTATGGGGAAGACTAATGGCCGCTTGAGGGAGCATGCTGTTCGCGCGGATGGGGCTGAGGTTGAGGGGACCGAGGGCATGGTTGTTGGTGCTAAGGAGGAGGCCAAGTGGGGGAAGGAGGATGGGGAGGTTCCTGCTTTGCTGAAGAAGTGGGCTCGGCTGAATTTGATTAGGGCGGGCTTTCCGCTTATTGGGGCTGGGATTGCGTTTTATGCTGCTGTTAATTCTTGGGTTCTTCCGTGATTTGGGGGATTGCGATTGCTCTGCTGCATACGCGTGAAGTTAATTGGGTGTGTACGATTATGAGATTGCTACTTTGTTCAAATTGATATGGGTATCGTTGGTTTCTATTGAAGGTGTGAGTGCGCTATGTACTGCGGCTGACTTGTTGATGGCTATATAAACATGTAGAAAAGACAATGGGATGTTCTCCCGGTAGGACATTCGGATGACAAGCCGTGGATTTTACGACTGCGGTCATGCCGAAGTGGGCTTGACATCTCCGTTTGTTTCTGAGGTTTCTTCGTCTTCTTTCTCAACGGCTGACCATTGGTTTGAATGCTGAAGGGACTCGTCGGCAGTTATCTCCTCCAACGGGCTGGACTTTTCGGAGCTTCCTTGATCATGATCGATCCCACGAGCCTCATCCGGCTCCTCGTCCATGGCAAACCCGACAATCTTTCCTGTGCCAGGCTGTGAGCGGGCCTCTTCAAGGACATCGCCATTCCAAGGCTGGCACTTCTTGACAATTTCACCACAACGGAGACAAACCCATCCTTGGCCCTCTTCACCTTCTAGTTTCTGCACGATGCAGACGAAACAGTAGATACAACCACAAGGAACCGTCTCATATGGATTTGTGATGTCTGTCTGGGCAGATCCAGCAATACCACCTGATGTAGAGGCCGCCATTACATCTGTTTCAGTCGTCGTGGTTGGGTTCTGGTCGCGGTAGCAGATGGCGCAAGTCCGTTCCGGGAGGAAGGCCAGCTCCCCTTGCTTTTCGGAAGGCTCGTCATCCTCGCCGCTTGACTTGACAGAAGATATCATCTTTCGCCAAGCGCGAGAAATCCACCGCCGCCAACGACTGATTCCAACAAGAGGAAGGAGGAAAAGAAGAAATTCGGTAAACGCGTGCCATACAAGTTGCCGGTTCAGGTACTCGAAGGACACCTCCCGACTGGCCTGTGCAGACGGTGGAGTAAGGCGAATGCGGAGGATGCGATCGACCAGGGTGCGGTATCGGCCGTTCACAAGGAATACAAGGAAAGAGACGAAGGCGGCGATCGAGTGCGAGGTAGAAATTAGGTTCGTTAGTCGGGACAGCATGCGGATATCCTGTGATGGCTTGGTGACTGTCAGTCTGGTAGGTTCAATGTAAGCACTTGAGTAACAAACCTCATCGTAGCCACCTTCCTGTCCGATCAACCAGCTCTCCCACTTGTCCCAAGCATATCGCCCTCCAACTGTCAATAAGCCATATACACTCTTCTGCCATTTCGTTGGAGATGAGTAGACTGGGCCCTTGCTGCGACTGTCGGTATACTGGAGGCCCTGCAGAGCCGCACCATATGACGCATTGTGGTCCCATATCGATAGTTTGAAGAGAATCGCCCGCAATGCGAAGAGAATCTCATGCGACCAATCTTCCCGCATCTGAGGCTGTTGCCATTGTCAGCTTCCGCTACCGCCATTCTCTGGGCTCGCCCCGACTGTTCAAACATACCCCGAAGTATTTGAGGGCATCCCCGACCTGACCCTTCATCAAGCCGAGCAGCTCCTCATCTAACAATTCGGCATCCACCTGTCCCACGCGGAATGCAGGTTTCGTGCCATCTCGCCCATTGATAGAATTCCATATCCGCCATCCAGAGCTCGGCAATCGATTCAACGGGTATGGAAGACGCTGGACGGTGGCCGGGCTGATCGGAGCCGCCCGTTGCTGAGCTGCATGGCGTGCGCGCGCTTCGGCTTCTCGTAGACGACGACGTTCAAGAACTCGCTCTTGTGCGGCGGCGAAGTTGGTTGAGCTCATCGTGAGATCATGGCGTGGATGTGGATAAGAGAGAAAGCACGGGGAAATGGGCGGAGTTCATACACCGCGCTCGGTTCCCCAGACGGAGAGCAGCCGAGGTATCTCACGTGACTGTCCCATTTCCGCCATGTTCTAATCGGGTTCCTATATTGGCAAATGGAGTACAAATAAAGACCCTTAGAATTAGGAGTTGTATATCAGACAATTAGAGGCTCTGGTTGGGGGACCCCGACGTTTGATCGGCTCAGCATATACGTATATTCAACCGTCACTGATTTCTCCACGGCTTTTCTCCACAGCTAGCGGATTTCGATACTTTATTAATTTACGGATACAAACGCACTGGCTATTCCGCTATTGAATGCGCCGGTTAAATGCTCATTTATAGATATAAAATGGGGAGGAAACGGTCCCAAGAATGTGGGATGGGATACCCGTCGACAGGATTACACTACAGTAAGCCTAGAGCGAATATCATCAAGAGAATGCAACTATTTGGTGGTCTGAACCTCGCCGGGTTCCGATTTGTACTTCCCGAGCAGTTTGAGTTCTGAAGCTATCCCGAGACACCTCAGCCTTATACGGCAGGAATCCAACCATGGGAGAATTAAGCATCAGCCCTGGTTCTTGGCTGAGGACAGGAACAAATCGAATGGACCAACCAGAGAGCTCCTTTATACCATGTGCTCCTGCATCTATATTTTCCCATAACAATCCACACGGAAGGTACCTAAGCGGTACTGGCAAGATGCCAAGAGATATGATTAGACACTGACAAGATGAGAGAGCCTCAAGTATACATGGGGTATACTTTGTTCTAAAGTCTACGATGTCACACGCACTGCATCATCTTCCAGATCTCCTGCTGTGCTCAAAAAGCCCCCTTGGCGGCTTCGCTATTTCTTTTTCTTCCTCTTCCCCTTACCCCTCTCACATTCTTCACACATTCCCCCTTTTCCATCGTGGTATTGACGTCCACCAACACAGTCCATCCCAATGAAGGCTATCATCGCGGTTGTCTTGGCTGTGGCCATTTCGGTCATGGCTCAGATTGCCACTGTCTCTGAGCCTGCTCTCGCAGAGATTCATGCCGCGGCTGCTACCATCAAGCCTGAGGTGACCACCTCTGACGTGAAGGGGCTGGTGTTCGATCGATTCTACCAGGTCTGGTTGGAGAACATTGTAAGTGATAACACAAGCCATAGATCTGAAGAGGCAGCACGACTAACATCTTGGTAGGATTTTGAAGACTCTGCTGCGGACGAGAACATGAAATGGCTCGCATCTCAGGGAATTCTTCTGTAAGCATTCAATGGATCAAGCATGGTGGCATAAGTACTAATATGCCTTAGGACCAACTACTATGCCGTCACCCATCCTTCTGAACCCAACTACTGCGCTGCCGCTGGTGGTGACACGTTCGGAATGGACAATGACGACTACAACCAGATACCCGCCAACATTTCTTCTGTCGCAGATCTTCTTGATACCAAGAAAATTTCCTGGGCTGAATATCAGGAGCACATCCCTTATGCTGGTTTCCAGGGAATGGACTACTCCAATCAGGAGACTCATGCCAATGACTACGTCCGCAAACATAACCCCTTGGTGCTCTATGACTCCGTCGTTTCTGACAGTAGCCGTGCACGTTCGATCAAAAGCTTCGTGGACTTTGATAATGATCTCAAGAACAAGAAGCTCCCTCAATGGGCTTTCATTACCCCCAACATGACTAACGATGCTCATGACACCAATATCACCTTTGCTGCGAAGTGGGAGCGTCCCTGGATGGCAAACCTGCTCAAGAACGAGTACTTCATGAATAATACCGTCGTCCTTCTGACCTTTGATGAAGATCAGCACTACGAGCACGACAACCGCGTTTTCAGCGTGCTTGTCGGTGGTGCCATTCCCGAACATCTCCAAGGTACCGTCGACGACACCTTCTACACTCACTATTCGAGCATTGCCACTGTGTCTGCCAACTGGGGTCTTCCATCTCTGGGCCGCTGGGATTGCGGTGCCAACATCTTCGACATCGTGGCCAACAAGACTGGATATGTCAATTACCACGTCGATAAGACATACCTGACCCTCAACCAGACCTACCCTGGTCCCATGTCTATTGGCGATACAGAGAACGGCCCGACCTCCAAGTTCTTGGCTGAATGGCCTATTCCTCTCACCAAGGGTGACTGCTCGGCTGGACATGGTATCTTGGACATTGTCAAGAAGACCTACGGCAATCTGACTGCGACCTACAACTACACCAGCCCCTACCCCTGGGACTCTGAGCATGATTACAACGTGAAAGTCACTGCCACTCGGACCGGCAATGCCTCCACCTCCAACGAGAAGAACGCGACATCTGCTCCTACTGCCCACACCGGTACCGGGGTTGCTGCCACAATTCCCAGCTTGACTGTTGTTCTCGGAGCTCTGCTGGCTGTTTATTGCCTTTTCTGATTTTTCAACACATTAACTCACAGCTTCCAAGCAGATGCTCGGATGGAGCGATGAGTTTGCGTTTTCTATCTCGTTTGGAACTACGCAGACCCTGACACTGCCCCAAGCGACCATGGAAGAACGAGTCCTCACAACCCTGAAAAGAACCCAAACACCAAAATACAGTGCCTTGAAAGGCCATTAATTTGCTACCTGGTTGTGAGATAATTCAGATTACAATTAATGATCTACTGAATCAAAAATACCCGTCTACGTAGACCTAAGTAACAAGTAAAACATATAGCCATTCATCTAACCTGCATACAAGCCGAAGTCCATAGATCCATCACAGACGCGCTACCGCCTTGATCAAAATAGTCTTGATCTCAAGAAAACTGTCAAGACTATGCAACAACCCCTCACGACCAGTGCCACTCGACTTAAAGCCCCCAAAAGCACAATCCTTCGCCCCAGTAGGACTAGTGCAATTGACACCAACAGTACCAGCATCCAAAGCCTTAGACACACGAACAGCCCGATCAATGTCCTTAGTAAAAACAGACGCATACAAACCAAACTCAGAATTATTCGCCTTGGCAATCGCCTCCTCCTCGGTAGAGAAGGTATTGATCGCAACAACCGGTCCAAAAACCTCTTCCTGCATCAACCGCGAATCCTCAGGTACGTCCTCAAAGACAGTCGGCCTCACAAACAAGCCATCCTTCGCATCTCCACCAGCAGTCAACTTCCCATCCTTCTCCCCAATAGCAAGATACTCCTTGATCCGCTCATACTGTATCATATCAACCTGCGGACCGTGTGTGGTTGTAGGATCCATGGGATCACCCATCTTGACAGCGGCGAAATGTTCACGGAAGGATTTGATAAACTGCTCTGCGATAGATTCGTGCACGTAGATTCGTGAATTTGCAACGCAGATTTGTCCGCTGTTAAACTGGATACTGAATTGTGTCTGTGCGGCTGCTGATGCGACATCTGCGTCGGGGAACACGATCGCTGGCGTTTTACCGCCTAGCTCCATGTGCACATGCTTCATGTTGGACTTGGCGGATGCGACTTGGATCTTTCGTCCTGTTGCGGAGGAACCTGTGAAACTGATACCGCGGACGCCCATGTGCGATGCTAGTGCTGAGCCGGCTGGGTCGCCGTGACCTGAGAGGATGTTGACGACGCCTGGGGGGAAGCCGGCTTTTTGGATTAGTTTGGCCATGTAGAGGGACTGGATGGTGGTTAGATGCGATAGTACCAGGAAGATGGGGGTAGACAAACCGTCAAGGGTGCTTTCTCGCTACTCTTCAACACAACTGTATTACCAGCTGCCAGCGCGGGCGCCATTTTAAGAGCAAACATTATAAGTGGGAAATTCCACGGGATGATCAGCGCCACCACGCCGAACGGTTGCTTGACCGTCAAGTTCAGATGGTCGGGGGTATTGAGACTGGCTGTTCCCTGTGCGCTCCAGCCTGCATCAGCAAAATACCGGAAGTATTCGGCTGCTAGGCCGGCATCGAAGAATTGGGTTATTGGGCGACCGATGCATAATGTCTCTAGCTTTGCTAGATCATCGTTGGACTCGAGGATCAGCTGGGATAGTTTGCGTAGGTAGTGTCCGCGCTGTTCTGTGCCTAGGTCGCGCCAGGCGGGGAAGGCTGCATTTGCTGCGGCTACGGCGTCGTCAACGTCTTTGATATCGGCTTCTTGGACTGGTGGAGATTTATTGTTAGGGCTGTTTTTGGTTCGGGTGGAGAAGGTGGGTGTATACATACCTTGGGCTACAACTTCTTTGGTGTAAGGGTATACCACTTCGAATGTTTTGTTACTCGATGACGGGCGAAACTGAAGTTATTAGTACGAAGGAATACTCCATGCATTGGGCTTTGTGTCAAAGGTGGTGATTGCCTACCTCATTGTTGACGAATAGCCGAGTCTCGATAGATTTGAGATCAACCGCAGCATATGCCATGTTGGATAAATAGTTTGTTTAGACCGTATAGAGAGGAGTTAAAGATAGATAATGAAGCACCAAGAGCAAGAAGGCAGCTAGTTTATAAACACGTCACACAGAGCAGGGGTCAATGTTTCGACTGGTGCGGCCAGTTGTAAACCAATAGGCGGTTCGGCCCCAAGGCCAAGGTCTCCCCGACATCAAGCGCCGAGACAAAGCTATACATGAATGTAACCTATGGTAGCACAAATAGCAGGTACTAGCCATGCATGCCAGTGATGTGTATGAGAAATGGGTTAATCTGTCTAGGCTAAGGGCCCCCGAGATGTGCTGATTGGGCTATCGTATGCAAAGGCCCCGAGCTATGCGTGCGGGGTATATCTGTACTAGTCGGGGAGATGTCGGGGGTTGGGATGAATATATTATTCTTTTAATGCATGGAACTTATGAAATCGGTGTGTCTCGATTCCGAATCGTATAATTGGTCGAATATAGTTCAGATATTGAAGCAAACGATATTTGATTAACATTCCATTATCGTAGATGTCGTCAGGTTATCACTTTTATAATGTACATGTTTATTAAGCAAGTCCGCGGCGCTTCAAGTCCTGCGGGTCCAGAGCTTCTTGGTCGCCAGGGCGGTTCTCGGAATATTGCTTCACGCCGGTTTCAGGGCCGTCGTCGCCCTGGAAGTGCTCGGCCTTGGGGAGTCTAGATAGAGATGGCATATTAGCTTTGTGAAACATAAAGTATGCTGTGATATATCTTACCTGTCACGGTCATCACGAGTGCCACCCTCATCTTCGGGGATCTTGCGGTGGTCGCTACCAGAGGCGGTTGAGCCAGGGCCGTACTTCACGCCAGTGGGCTCGGAGAATCGCTGGTTGACCATCTCGTCGACACCGGACTCGAGAGCTGAGAGAGCCTGGTTAGTATCAATGGAAGACACCGGATTGCATCATTCCATCTTACTTGAGTCACTCTTCTTGCCGAGGCCCTGCTTGGCCTGGTAGGTGTTAAGGTCATTCTCAGCCTTGTAGGCGGTCTTTCTGAGGTCCTCAAAGTGCGCCATTGTGTGTGTTGTGCAAGGAAAGTTAGATGAGAATATTGGAGATAGAGAGATTGAAGATGCAGAATGAATTTGAACTTAAGGGAAATAGAGGTGCGACTCTATTACAGTTTATATACCTTTTGTCTCCATCACCATCAAGTCAAACTAGGATTAGGAACTGTTGTTGCATCATGATACATCATAGGTATGTCACTGGAAGGGACTGTCTAGGTGATATGGAACGGTCTTTCTGGCTCCATAGTTGCTCGAAACATGGTTGTAGATCCCAGTTTGATAGGCCCTTAGCAAGTTAGACATCTCTGACTTCATTGTCCCCACCAAGAAAGCCCTAAGTCCATGTCCGAATTGGGAGGAAAAGAAGGGTCCAGCCCTAGGGTTGGGCGGAACCGGCATATCTATATTCCGGAGGCGGGGAGCATCAAAGAGCTCCAAGGCGGTATGTTGTTATCGCCTACTTCTTTGAAAGCGCGTTGTTTCCCTGTATATGGGTTCCGTGCAACTCTCGCGCATACTTTCTCGGCTCCAGAATCTATCTCAAAGGCGCAGATCTCAACGGTCTATCTCACGCCCTAAACAGAATCTGCCATGGCGTTCGCCATCGAGGTCGAGGGCGAGGCCAACCCATTGAGCGCCCAGAATGTGCTGAATGCCCTGGTACTTGCGGCAAGCTCGACCCAGCAGCAAGTTCAAACGGGTACTCAGCAGCTCCAGAACTGGGAGAAACAGGGCATGTACTATACATTCCTACAGGTATCAGCCCGTCACCCGGATTATTCATGATTCGCGCGCTAACTTGGTGTTTCGACTTGTAGGACGTTTTCCTTGACCATTCCGTTCCCAGTGAAGTCCGCTATCTCGCAATTATCCAGCTGAAAAACGGCATTGATAAATATTGGCGCAAAACAGCAGCAAAGTACGGCATCAAATCCCTGCATGGAAGGCGACATGCTAACAATGATGCAAGTGCGATCAAAAAGGAAGAGAAAGAACAGATCAAGACTAGAGCCCTCGAGGCAGGTATTGTTGAGCCTGCCCCGCTGTTGGCCCTTCATAATTCATTGATGATTGCCAAGATTATGCGTTATGAGTTCCCCCAGGATTGGTACGAATACTTTTGCATTAATTGAGGCCGCTCATGCTAATTCCAACCAGGCCAGATGCTATTTCGTCCGTTATTTCTTTCCTCCGATCCTCCATTCAGCCTGGTGCAAACCCACTCCAACTCTCCCGAACCCTCCTCGTCTTATTGCAAATCATCAAAGAATTGTCCACAGCTCGAATCCAGCGAACACGTCACAATCTTCAGTCTGTTTCTCCCGAGATATTCCAGCTACTTGGGGGAATTTATGTGGACAAGCTCAACAAATGGGTCGCGATACTGGAGCAGGGTGGCGCCGGCGAAGGGGAGTTGCTGGACGCACTTGATCAGAGCATGGTGTCTCTCAAGGTTCTTCGACGGCTAATAATTGCTGGATATGAACACCCGAGCCGCAACCAGGAAGTGCAAAGTTTCTGGGTATTGACCCATTCTCACTTCAGCAAATTCCTCTCTTTCGTGGATGGGTCTACCAACCTGCCCGAACCAGTCCATAGGGCCATCGAGAAGCACTTGCTGCAAATGTCCAAGCTGCATGTTGAAATGGCCAAGACACACCCTGCATCTTTCGCCTTGCTGCCAGACAGCATTTCCCTTGTTCAGTCGTACTGGTCGTTGGTCGTGAAACTCGGGGAGAAATATGAGAGTCTTGGTGCAGGCGATGAAGCCGAAGGCAAGTCCTTGGCTGAGAAGACTGGTCTCCGGGCTCTGCTCCTGATTAGGGCATGCGCGAAAATGGCCTTCAACCCTGCTCAGACATTCAAATATCAGACGCCACAAGATAAAGAAGAGCGGAAACAATCTGTTGAGCTCGTCAAGTCACAGCTCTTCACAGAGGACTTTGTTGTCAACGTTATGGAGCTACTTGTCACACAATTCTTCAGGTTCCGCAACATCGATTTCCAGGAATGGGCGGAAGAGCCAGAAGACTGGGAGAAGCGAGAGGAAGAGAACGCCGATGCATGGGAGTTCTCCATCCGCTCTTGCTCCGAAAAGCTCTTCCTTGATCTCGTCATTCACTTCAAAGATTTACTCATTCCCCGGCTCCTGAATGTGTTCTATTCCTTTGCGAGTAAGCGTATACACTATGGTTATGAGGTGTGCGCAATGCTAATTTTTCTTTTCAGACACCGAGAATCACAATGTGCTACTGAAGGACTCGCTCTACTCCGCTATTGGCTTGGCAGCTGCCAGTTTGGAACAGCATCTGGATTTCAATGCATTCCTGGAGCATACCATGGTCCCCGAGGTTCAATCCCAAGAGCAGGAGTATAGGCTTCTCAGAAGGAGAATCGCTTTAGTCCTTGGCCAGTGGGTTCCAGTCAAGCCGGGTGAACTTAACAGAAACGCCATTTACCAGATCTTCCAACACCTGCTAAACAGCCAAGACCCATTAAATGATCTAGTCGTCCGTATCACTGCTGGTCGACAGCTTCGCAATGTTCTCGATCCATACGAATTCTCCGCAGAAGGATTTATGCCGTTTGCGCCTTCAATCCTAGCAAGTCTCATGTCTCTCGTTCAAGAAGTTGAATCATCGGAGACGAAGATGGGACTTTTGGAGACGGTTCGCGTAGCCGTTGTGAAGATGGAAGATAATGTAAGTAATTCCTTGCGTCCTATCGGCAGCGCCATTACTGACATGACTCCAGATCACACCCTTCTCCGACCAAATTCTGTCCTTGCTTCCTCCTTTGTGGGAAAGTTCCGGAGAAGAGCACTTGATGAAACAGGCCATCCTGACTCTGCTTTCATCTTTGATCCAATCTTTAAAGCAAGATTCTGTGAGGTACCACCCACTGATTCTTCCACTAATCCAAAGCTCAGTAGAACCTGGCTCGGTAAGCCAATGTGCCTTTATTCATCCTGTGCCCCAGTTTCTAATGTCATATACAGGAAACGATCATCTACCTTCTTGATGAGGCATTGGAGCTGTGGGCTGCCATCATCCAGTCTACACCATCTTCTGCCTCACCAGAAATTCTATCACTCCTCCCATCTTTATTCCCCATCATCGAAGAAGCTACCGATAGTACTCCACAGGCTCTGCAAATTGTTGAATCTTATATTTTCCTCGCGCCACAGGAAGTCTTGAGCGATCGGTTCCGCTTCCAATTACTGGTGTCACTCGAGGCTGTACTCAAAACGACAACCAAGCAACGCCTCGGTGTTATCCCTCGGATAGTTGAGCTGATGATCCGCGCTGCTGAGACGGTCGATGGCGGCAGTGAAGCCACATACAGCGTGATCTCTCGCTCTCTCTTGGATAGCTCATTCCTATCCTCCCTTCTCGAGGGTCTGTACTCTGCCCACGAAGCTAGCCAAACCTCCGGCCCCAACAGAAAGACTTCACCAGTGTATGGTGCTGTCGAAACCGATTACTATTCGGTTTTAGCGCGCCTTGCTCTGGCCAACCCAGCCATCTTCGCTTCTTCGGTCGCCGCCGCGACGAACTCTTCGGAGGAACAATCTCTCACTTGGATTCTCACTGAATGGTTTTCGCATTACGACAATATTGGCAGCGTCAACCAGAAGAAGATTCATGCCCTTGGTCTTACTCAGCTCCTGGCCCTTCAAGGAGTCCAGACCGATCCTTCTCAACCCGCTCCTCCCCCTCCATACATCCTTTCTCATCTCCAATCTTACCTTAGCATGTGGACGGACCTCATCACCGAGCTGGCAGACGGCGGTACAGATCCCAACGCCGACTATCTGGTTTACTGGAACGCACCGGCTGGATCCGAAACGGCAGTTGCCGAAAGCACCGAAGGAGTCGAACAGCCCGAGTCAATTCGTCGTCGCGAATGGCAGTCTGGTGATGTGATCCACCGCTTCACCATTCGAGACTTTGTCCGCCATCGTCTGCAGGAAGTTATTGGTGCATGTGGTGGCGCCCAGCGATTCCAGGAGGAGTGGTTGGTAAACGTCGATTCCGAAGTGGTCACGGCCTTCGGAGCCCTGGGGCTACTTTAAATTTAGAATCTCATCGTTTGCGAAGACGTTTGTGTTGCAATATTTCTTTACGCGATCCCCTTGCATCTGCATGAAATATTCATCTTCATATCTGCATGTTCACCTGGCCCCATGATATCGTCGATATTTGTTTCCCTCGTGCTTGTCGGCATTTTAACTACATACCCCCAATCCATAAGTCATCATTTTCAACCCCATCAAACAGTAGATCTCATCCGCGATGATTCATTGATATTCTTCATTTCTCTCTGGTCGCACTTCGAGCCTTTGGTATTCGTACAGTTAAGAGACAGACAAGTCGAGAGGCAACGAATGCAATGCATTATTTTCTATGGGAATGCATATTTTATGCTATGTGCAGCGCGATTAAATACGTTTAAACAAAACAGTATGCGAAGGAACTGCAAGCATCAATGGAACCCGGTGGACCAATGTATCCATGTGATAACCGAGTAGCGAGCAGGTATTATGATCTTCGATAATTTGAAACAGGTGAACCTCCCGAAGATAAAGGATTCACACCACGGCAGCAACCGCCTTACATCGACTGCTTTCCTTGAGTTTCGATGGGCAAAAAACACATCGCCACAAATGCAGCCAAGATAAGCGCACCGGCCGCATAAATCGGCGCAATAGGATCAGTACTAGCATAAATACCAATGATCGGGGCCATGAGACCAGCAATCCGGTTCAAGCAGCTAGCAATACCAGATCCGGTACCTCGGTTGGGAGCAGGGAATACCTCTGGAGTGTAGGCATACAGCACACCGTACATGATCATCTGGAAGAAAGACTCCAGGGAGGAACACAGGAGCTGGATGTTGGGGTCCTTGGTTGCTGTGAAGCAGAACAATAGGACGCCCGTGATGAGGGTTGAGGCGGCCATTGTGCCCTTGCGACCAATGTACTTAATATCGACAGTGTACCAGCCAAGAAGTGGTCCGGGAATTCCACAGACTGCGGTGATGGCGTAGTTGCGGTAGGTGATGTAGGTGGAAGAGTTGGCGCTTAGGTATTGAGGGAGGAAGGCGTTGAAAAGGGTGTAGCCCATTCCAATGCATGTCCAGCAGAACCAGATAAGGATCGCTGTATGAGGTGTTAGTCTGGGGCAAAAATAAAACAGGGAAAAGGATGCGTACTCGAAACGGCAAGCCGCTTAGTCCTGAACAAGGGCTTGATCTGTTGAACGGAGAATCTCTCAAGGGACCGCTTGATGATCTCTCCGGTGGAGAGGGACTGCTTCTTGTTCTCCTCAGGATAGCCACCAACCTCGTTCATGATTTCCTCGGTCAGCCAGGTGGTGGTCTTGTTCTTGTGAGCAATTTCTTGCACTGCAGCCACAGCCTCATCCTGACGACCGCGAGAGACCAGGAACTTTGGCGACTCGTAGAGTGTGAAGAGGAAGAAACGGCAAAGGAACATAGCGAATGTGATAGCACCCAATGTCAAGACAAGGTACCTCCAGCCCCAATTGTTTGCCCTGGTACACGTCTCAATGCTTTCACAAGAGAAGTTTGGAATGAAAGCCCAGGCAAGCATACTAAGAGGGTATTAGCTTTGACGTCGACGTGGAATTGTCGCTCAGAGACGAACCTGGCAATCAAAGTGCCGACAGACCACCACGTAGCTAGACCACTCAGAATGTTGCTTGAATTGGGAGGCAAGCATTCCAAAAAGACAGCTGCGTCAACGGGCAGGTTTCCACCCACACCTAGACCCAAACAGGCGTACAATGCACATGTTCTGGTTTATAAGTTAATAAATACATCTCAAAAGACATTTGCGATAACATACCCAACCCAGTTAGGTCCACCTCCGGCGGCGAGGCCAAATGTACCGCAAATGCAAAGGGTCATGTTGAAAGCCGGACGTCTTCCGATAGCGTCGGAGGCAATTCCCCAGAAAGAGGCACCAATAATTAGACCAACAAAGAGAGAACATGTTGCGAATCGAGACTCATTTTCAGAGACGCCGAATTCTTTGGCAATTGGGGTCAGTGTGAGGGCCACTCCCTGCGTTTTATTAGCATATAACTTCGGACTGGTTGAAACAACCCAAGTCGTACCTGCAGCCAGAGACTAAAAGAGAACCCGGTTAGCAAACATTGCTGTCAGGGTTAGTACCTGGGGGAGGATGTATACTTACTTGTCGGCAACCCAACCCATTCCACAGAGCACGAACAGACCCCATTGATAGCGTCCCATACCAATGTCCTGAACTGCTCTGTTAATGATCTTTGCTTTGCCTGTAGGTTGATGTTAGGTCCGGTATCAGACTGAAGCGGCGAGGATGATGCCAAACTAGAGTTTAACAAGATCAGATTCGTTGGTTAAACATACGATCGTAAACAGTGTTATGACCCGAGGCGCCAATATCAGCCTCGACCTCGACCCTGAGAGCTTCCAGAGTCAGTGGGCCACTCGAATAAGAGCCAGCGGTGCCCTTTTCTTGAGAAGAAGACCTGTCGAGGCCAGAGTTGGAGTTATCGCTGGAGTAAGCATCTTTCGGTGCGGAGCCATGGGCAAGTGGAACCACAACCTCGGGGAATTGACGCCGTTCCCGGTTGGCGAAAAGGTCTTTCCAGTTCGGCATGTTGATGAGTCTCGATATCGCAACAGGGCAGCTGTGAACGTAAGGTGCTTGGCAAAGTGTTCGGTTGGCGCGACGGAAAAGTAGATGTGAGGCTACTGGTTCGAATGGTCGAATATAGCTCTTGCGTGAGGGCTAATACTACCGTTTTGCTGGGGTATGTTGTTGCTGGGACCTTTTATAAAACCTGGTTGGCGCAATGGATAATGAGTTGCAGGTGCAAGGGCTGATCGGATCCGATTTGCGAGGGAGTTCCGGAAAATGCGCAATGGAGTAGTGTGAAGCCGCAAGAGATATCGAAATTGGCGCAACGGGAAGGGTGACGCAACTATATGCTGCTACTTTTGCGAGACTGTTGAGTGAGATCAAGTTTCTTTGGCAGTGAAACTATATATGCGGGAATTGTTGTCAATAGTATTCTCGGTAGAACTCGACAGTGTTGAGTCGGATCAGTGCGAGAATATAGCGAGGAACGCAAAAGCCAAAGGCAAAGAAGGTGCAGAAGACAGAAAAAGAAGGGTCGACTGTATTGCTTCCTTGGGATGGAAAGGAGATATAGCTTGCAGTGGCCCGACAGCGAAAAAAGTGGAAATTACAAGCTGAACGAAAATCTCTCACGTCGAATTGTGAATTAGATAATATGAAGGCGATGGGTGGATCGTATATGAAGTTGGCCAACCATGCCACCCTCTTTTGGCCCTATGGGTCAAGCCTCCAGCCTCTGATGTATGCATGTCACTGAGTATACCCACACTGGGCCCACTACACCATGCCACATTAAGTATGAAAATTGAGGTCCCTCTTGAGCGGATCGCCAAGATCCCTAAGCGAAAACAGGATGCTGGTCATGGCGACAGATTTCCACGGGATTTCACGCGCTTGCACTTCGTACAAAAGACGGTGAAATTTTCGGGATGTCTACACTTTTGCCGATGTCGCTGGCCCAGGCTTCGCATAACTAAGTTCACGCGGGTGGCCCTGGGGCGCCGCTCGGGGCCGGCTCCCGGTGGGGCTTTTTTTACTTTTCCTTTTGGGACACCACGTGACGTAAGTAACCAGGTCACGTGCTAATATATAGATGGAGCCCTACCTTCCTAATCGGGATGGTACAAACAAACCTCTATCAACAAGTGTAACCCTTACTTTTGCAACCACGCCACCGAAATAAACGTAGTGGTAGTTAACTGTGTTCGGGCGTACCGTGCAGAGGGAGCTGCGAGTTTGACCCGGACCTCGCATCTCCCGGTGGGGATTTTTTATTTTATTTTGCTGGGCTTTATCAAACATGGGAAAGTCCGCCAACTGGAGACTGCAAACCATTCCCGCCTAGGAGAGATCTTGTTCGTGCTAAATGACTTATCTGTGACACTGGATCGTGAAGCAGGTCTGCTGCCGACTCTGAAGTTCGTCATATGCATTCTGTAGCTCTTCAAAGTCTTCAGCAATCCCACTCGCCGCACTTTTACTGGTACAGGCTCCTTTCCGAGTTATTATAGGCTTATCCGTGATTACAATTAATCCCTTTTCCAAAGCCCGCAATCCATAGGATTTGTGGGCAAATGGTTCAGTGCTGATGATCACACAGTCTATTCTCAGACGACGTATCATCAAATCCAGTTCAAGGTACTCCTGAGGCCATTGTTGTTTCGAAAGTGGGAGGTGGGAATACAAAGGCCGCTGATGTTCATTGCCATAAATTTCAACGATGGCCATGAGTTTGGCCCGGCCTTTCTCATCTAACTCTTGTAGACGGGGTATATAAGTCTTTTGAGCAACTAGTCCTGCACCGACGAGCAGATATCTAGGTGTTTTGATCGTCATTGATACGGCGAAATGGTTCTTTCCTTTTGAACAGCTATGCGAGGCAATACAAAGGCTAGGTCAAGTATTACACGTCTAATTGGGGCCATGCCTCCATACCTTTCTCGTCGATATCCATAAACTATTGGCTTTTAGAGAATGACTAAAGTTAGTAAGAAAAAAGATGAGCAACTGCTCGCCTTTTAGGTCCTTCGAAGGCAGTGGCAATTACAAATGACAAGTCGGTCTCAGTAAGCAGAGGCGTTACAATAAACGAAACTTCTGTATGAAGTCACCCCCGACATCCTGTTCTTTTTTAGCAATAGATGAAATCGGTCCAATTAGGTTCATCTGCATAGGATATTATCATCAAGCTCCTGGTATCATACCTATATTTTGCATTAAATTCTTCATAACTCTTCCCTGGACAAACTGCTTCGAAGCGGGGGTTACACAATACTATCATCTGCGCTGGAATCGACCTACGGGGAGTTTATTTACGAAGTACACGCCATCGTATTCCATTTCTGCTGTCAAGATTACAGGACATAGTAAAGTTAACATACCAAAGGTGGTTGCACGACATATAGTTACGTCAACAACAACTCCGAACGGATTTGAAAAGAAGCATAATCCTACTTATTAGACGATTGGCTTTTAATGGTGCGGAAACTGTCTTACGGCCGATGCATGCACGTCGCTCTAAATGGACGCTGACTGGTCTTTTTCCCGGTACTGCCGTAGACATCGCGGCCTCACCATCTCACCCATTGATCGCCGTCCCATTTTCCACCACACGATAACATCATAACTCCACTGTTACTTTTCTTAAAATTGGGTTATCTTCTACGTACTCCATATTTGAGTCAACATCTCACCAAGACATTTATTTCGACGTCATCCTCTACAGCCACAACCCCGCCTTCTCCCCCCACTAAGCCCAACATGGAGATATCCCTGGAAGAAATCAACACCCGATACCAGGTTCCTGTGACCACGGCCGCTGGACAGGTACCCGAAAATGCAAACACACAAAACACCATCGATCAGCTCAAGATGAACCCGCACATCGAGGGAGGCTACTTCGTCGAGACGGACCGAGACAAGCGACTCATGGTCAATGATGCGGGCGAAGAGCGTTCCAGGTCCACGAGTATCTTCTACTTCATCACACCGAAGACTCCGATCGGGGCGTTCCATCGCAACGCAAGTCGTACTGTTCACACGTTACACCACGGACGAGGAATCTACGTCATCTTGGTTCCTCTAGGACCTGGAGGGAGCTTTGATGATTTCCGTATTGAGACTTTTGTCGTTGGGCATGATATAAGCAACGGGGAACGGCTACAATGGATTGTTGAGGGAGGGTGTTATAAAGCTAGTTTCTTGATTCCTGAAAAGGAGGAAAAGCTAGAGAGCAGTCCTGGTCTGCTTATCAGCGAGGTAATTTGCCCCCTATCTCCGACGTTACTGGCTTTGGTTGTTCATGTGTCCGTGAACTAATGAGAAATAGACGGTTGTCCCCGGGTTCGATTACAAGGACCATGATTTTCTTGCGGCCGAGAATTTCAAGTCTTGGGTTAGTCCGGAATTGTTTCAGCAGTTGCAATGGCTAGTCAGAAAAGGGTAGACTTGATGAAAGTCCCCTGGGCATAGGTGGTACGGCCTCACTTCTATTTGCAGCTTGGCCTACAATAAAGGATTACCAGAAAACTTTATATTAAAGTGAAAAAGAACAATTTGTTTATTGCCAATTGCGGACCTGTTCAGCAGGCCCGAGAAAAAAAATGTAACATACGCCGTAACACCAAAAAGACACGAGAGTCCATCTCTCTTTCATACACAATCTCAAAACCCAATTTGTAAACAGAGCAAACACCAACCAAGCAATGATCAGAAAGATGCTTTATGCTTAGGTCCCAAAAAAAAAGCAACAAGGCGTAAAGGCTATAGCGTTTAGCACTGGCCGGGGAATGCACGGCTGGTGACGGGGTTGGGGAAGACACCGGCGGCGATCTGCTTCTGCATATCCCACTCGGGGGCACCCTCAGTCTTCCAGGTCCAGTAGAGCCAGCCGGTACCGTGCTCATATGCATCGAGTTGGCCCTCAATGAAGCGACGGATGTTGTTACGGTCGTCATCAGACAGAGTCTCAATGGATCCAACAGACTTGCCGTCACAACTACCAATAGCCTTGCTTCCGGGGTAGGTACCGTCATAGCGGGCGCCAATACCCTTTCCGTTGAGGTACTTGGCACAATCAGTCATGGCACCGGTCCATTCACCGACGATAGTCCACTTGTCGGAGGTCTGGACGTGGTCCTTGGAGAAGGTGCAGACATTTTCGACGTGGGCATTGATGTCCATGGCGAGAAGGCCGCTGTCAAACACCTCGTAGTGGTGGGTATCCATCATCACGTACCACACGCCAGTGGACTCGCTCATGAAGCCATTCCATGACTCTGTGGGCAAGAAGCCGTCGTGGAGGACAACGGTGGTGTCCTGGCTCGTCTTGCGGACGAGCCCCCACGAGTCGTAGTAGTACTGCTTGAGGCCATCTACATTCACGCCTCCAGGGACGTTGGGCTCGTTTAAGGCCTCGATGGCGGTGACGACGTCTCCGTCGCCACCATAGCGGGCGGCCAGAGCGTCCAGAGCATCCTTGGTGCTGTCAACAGTGTTACCCTGTTGCCATTGGATTGCACCGCGCTTGCCGCTGTTGTCAAAACCGTTCTGGGAGCCAGGAGCTGCGACTCTTGTTAGCTATATCTATGCTCACTGAGTATATAAATACGTACCACCGTGCAAGTCGACAATGACCTTAAGGCCGGCAGCGCGAGCCCAGCCGACAGCTTGGTCGAGGTACTCCAGTTGGCCGTCGACGTATTGGTCACCATCCAGGTGCTTCACAGCCCAGTAGCCCACGGGGATTCTGACGTGGTTCATGCCAGTCGAGGCAATCTGGTTGAAGTCATCGGCAGTGATGAAGGTGCTCCAGTGCTCCGCAAGAAGAGACCGGCACTGGTCTGCGCCAACAGTCGCACAGAGAGACCACTCATCAACGGCAGCATCACCAGCAGCATCAAAGATAGATGGAGTGATCCATGGCTCCAGCACCAGCCAGCCACCAAGGTTGACACCACGAACCTTATCGGCTCGGTAGTCAAAGTTGAGGCTCCTATATATCAGAGCAAGTAAGTATAATGTGAAGGACCTGCCACAGGTTGTGAAGGCAAGTAGGCAAGTATCACTTACACTGTGGGTGTGGCTTGCGCCAAGGCCGCCAAAAATGACAGGCAGAGCACCGATTTCTTCTGCGAGGTCTTGGACGGCATACTGAATATTCTAACTTAGTCGGGCCCAAAGTCAGGAGGCTGGGCTTCAGGAATGAGGAATGAGTAGGTTTGTGTCAAATGGCATGGAGATCGGCTGCTATAAGTAAACTTGAGTGGATTGACGGCTGAAGAGGTAGCCGAATGCAGGCAAACAAGAGGTTACTTGGGCGAGAACGGAAATCCCCACGAGGCTCGAAGCAAAAGTAACATACCTGTGCTGGATATCCTTCCTATACCCGGTCTGAACCAAGCTGTTCGATCAAGAAGGGGAATGTGGATGCGCTGAAAACGGCGGGCCGTAGGACGGGATCTTCTGGGGTCCGGGGTTAATAAAGGCACAAAGGGCCTTCTTCGACGGGTAAAGGTCGCAACGGCTAGCTCACTCCGGTCAGACAGTGGGGACTGGAGCTAGCAATTCCTGATGCCACACAGAAGTTACAAGGTCACAAAAAATATGGATCAGGCCTTGAAAAACAGTTCGCGGGCATCACAAGGTGGATAGAGACAGATGAGGAAAACTGAGACAAGAGATTGAAGTTGATTTGAAAGCGGCAGTTTCCTCTGTGTCGTCGTCATTATGTGGTTTGCTGGAAAGCGCGACCCGATGTCTGGGGAAGTTATACTTCATCTTCTACACGATCTTCGATTTCCCCCCAGGCAAGCCATTGAAGTCTCGACTAAAAAAAACTTCCTATCTAGACCAGACAAACTTCCCTCTCGCATAACCAAATACTTGATTTCATAAAAAAGAAGAGCAATGCTGCATGCAGTGATCTCACATTCCAGCGATTGATCGGCACGTGGCCAACTTTCGCGGAATGTCTTGGCACTGGTGAAGCAGCACCTCAGGCTCAACAAGTTTAGGGTTGTGTGATTTAGTATAGCTGTAATCATGGTTTTCGGCAGTTACAAATAATACCTACACATATTGTGTTCATTGAAGCCGATCTGGGTATCTTGGGGATACAAATTTTGTGGCGACCAGATGTACACACTAGGGGGAGGACAATCTAAATTACGGCAATGCCTTTTCGAGAGACTCTGCAGCATTCCGCACCGACAAAATCTAGGATATTATGTAATTCATGCAGATCGTCGGCCTTGGGTGTGTCCGCGAGGTGTGAGGTGTATATACAAGGTGAGGCGTCAAGAGCCCTACTTCCGTTCCCGGCAACAAGAGCATTGTTTCCCCCGCCAATTAACGATGCCAGGAACACCAAGGTTGTGGCGTACATTGTACTCCACTTCCTTTATCCAGCCTATAGGTCACAGTTACACCCTCATAGAGGTGGTATCACCCAAGGATGAGGAGCCAGCAATCCATGGCAATTTGCTCAGTACATCGACGACTCGGGTAGAATTATGGGTCAACGCGTGGTAATTTGGCTCTGTTCAACTTTTGAGCGTCATCTCTGTAACACTGAGGTCCCCTATGGTAGAGTATCAAAGAATGTGAAGATTATCGGAATGTTCCTCATGTTTCATGGTTGTTAACCATGGAGCTCTGAGAGCCCGGCTGGTCGATGGAAGGACAGGTAGGTTCGGAGTCTCCATTCCAATGCAGATAACTTATCAGAGATAATCGCGGAGTGTCTTGATGACCTACTACATTAGGGATTAGTAAAGACTTCGGGAAGGAGAAATCGGGAGCTGCCGCACATCCATATGGGCAGACTCACGTGATCAGCTCTCAATCATTTAGCCCTATCATAGTTACATGCACAAGTGTACCTCTGCCCTGGTGTACAGATATAGAGCTGAGTTAGGATAACATAATAGTATGATAATATTACCGTCGCGGTACATGTTACTTAGGCATCTATCCAGTGGTTTACCAGGATTTTGACAATACCAATACGGAATCGGACCAGGCCTCAGCACTCCAGGGCTAATGCAAATCATGAATGAATAATGAAAGCGATGTCGGACCAAGACCCCTGAGCAGCAAAAGGGAGCACGTTCTTCAACTCATGCATAGAATAGGCGGTTGCTTCGAGTGATGGGCGCTGTTTATTGGAGCCGAGCAGACACTAAACCCACTTCCCGCGACTATAAGAGCGCTTAGCTGCCCCACGTGGGCGACTCGACGATCATGATTGATTTCCGCCCTCCACCTTCATACAGTACAACATGAAGTCCAAGAAATCCAACATACGGCGTGGAGATTATGGCCTCCGTCGTTCTAAGCGAGATGAAATTATGATGCTGTTCTCGCGTAGCTTAACGTGTCGGCAAAAGCTCATGTATAAAGCCAATGTGTGATCATTCTAGAGAATTCAGCTTTTCTTTACACTTTCATTGCATATGCCATTATTCACAATGGCCACCAAAAGCTTTGTTTCTTTAATAGCCCTGGCTGCTGGCGTTGAAGCTGGTGCCATTAAGCAAAGAGCGACATCTACACAGCCTGATTGGTTCCAGACCTCTCCTAATAACTATGCTGGTAAGTTGGCATAAACTCTATCAGAAAAATGATTCTCGGGGAAAGCAGAAGGATGTTAATTGGCGAAACAGGCACTACAGCGACTGGGGCTGCTCCTTTCCTTGCTGCAACAAACCCAGCACCCTTCGGCGAGGCAACTTATGTTCCAAATGCCCCCTTGGAAACGTCAGAACCCATCAGCGGAGCAAATGGGAGAAATATCTTCCATCTTATGGGTGATTTGAGGTAAATTTCCATCCAGACTATAAATTTGGACCCTAGCTAATCCCTATAAAGCCCATACTTTTCTCCCAGTGAAGGATTTGGAGTCAAGGAATATCCTTTGCCCAAGGGCGCCAACATTACCCACATGCACATGCTACAGCGCCATGGCTCAAGGTATCCCTCCTCATCAGAAGGACTGGATACATGGGGTACCGGCATTCAAAAAGCCATTGCCAACGGAGCCGTCTTCAAAGGAGAGCTCGAGTTCCTGAATGACTGGTCCTACCAGCTAGGCAAAGAGATTCTTGTCCCTATTGGTCGCCAAGAGCTCTTTAATAGCGGAATTCTCAACTACTATAACTACGGCCATCTATACGACAACTCCTCCAAAATCGTTGTGCGCACAACACTCCAGTCGCGCATGCTCGAGAGCGCAGAGAACTTCCTAGCCGGTTTCTTCGGACTTGACTGGTCCAAAAACGCCAACATCCTGGCAACAATTGACTCTGCAACCACTGGCGAATCTGCCTGTGCCAACGAGGCTTCGAGTATGTTCGCCAATATCGCCGAGCCAATCAGCACCTGGCAAAAGACCTATCTGAAAGACCGCACTGAGAAGCTGAGACGCCTGACTGGAAACTACAACTGGACCGT